GCTTCCCAAGGGCTAAGACCATGTGCACTGAAAGTTGTCCATTTCTGCCACCTCACCACAGATGGCCTCTTCAGCCCCAGCTCAAGAAGCCCAACTTTGGGGAAGCCTTTGGGTGAGTATACAACAGGCACAAGCAGGATGTGAAGGTTCCCTTCATAGACATCCAACATGGCCAGTGACACTGGGTCCCCTTCTCTGTCACACCCATGTCTTATGTTTTTCTGAGATTCCAAGGGACAGGGTGGCCAGCTCCTCCCCAGAGTAGGTGTTAGATCCTTCCATATCCCCATCTCTACTTTCCACCCGACTAAGGAATTTTTCTAAAATCCCATATTCACCCACTTCAGCATTTCCTAAATATTATTCTTAATTTTATGATTGCATCTTTCCTAGCTTTTTTGCAAAACAAATCTACTCCCACCTGAAGGCTGATAGTTAATATAAAGCATACTCCTGTCCTCGGGGCAATGTCTTTATGACACTAACCAGCTACTATTGATGTTAGCTTTTTGTTGGCCAAGAGGAAACTAGCACAGGCAAGAATTAAGACAGCATGAGAAAGATTGCCTAAAGATAAGAAAGTAAATGAGGGACACCATGATTCTAAGCACATAATAAATATTCAAATATGTGCTGAGCAGATGAATAAACATACTTGTGTAAGGCTTTAAAAGGGATGAGTAAGGATAAAAGTTCTCATAAATGAGTATTTATTCCCAGGCTTTTGTATTTTTTTTAATTTTATTTATTTATTTATTTTTAGAGAGAAGGAAAGAAACATCAATGTGTGGTTGCATCTCACATACTCCCTCCTGGGGACCTGGCCTGCAACCCGGGCATGTGCTCTGACTGAGAATGAAACCAGTGATACTTAGGTTTGCAGTCTGGTACTCAGTCCACTTAGCCACACAAGCCAGGGCCTAGGCTTCTGTATCCAAATACCAGTCCTTGGTTTGGTTTGGTTTTTTAATTTGGGAAGGGGAAAATCAACACAGAATCACTAACTTTCTATTTTGCCAAGTAAAAATAGTTTAATAAAACTATCATCTCTATCAATATATATTCATAAAATGATAGCCCCTTTGACACCAACAAAGAAGGAAGGGTATATGCACAGAATAAGGAACAGTCTTTCCAAAAGAGAATCATGAGCATATTGGATAGGGATCATAGTTGTACATTATAGAATCCCCTTCTGGCTAGTTTAAGCACAAGACACTATAATATAGAGTCTAGATAGTTCACAGAAACATTGGAAAGGTTGAAGGAACAGACTCTAAGCAAAACTTCCCCAAGCCACAGCACAGAACCAGGGCACCGAGGAAGCTTCCAAGTCAGGACGGTGCTGCCACAGTTGCTGGCTCCTGGACTGCAGCTCCTCAAAAATAAGGGAGTCTCGTGCCCTGTTCAACCCCCCTGTTCAGCTGAGTTCAGCTGACTCACAGAAACTAAACATATCTGGATCCCCATCTGCCAAGGAATCCAGGAAATGTGGGTTTCCTTTTCAGCCTCTGCAGTACAGGAATGTGTGTGGGGCTGGAGAAGGAACTTAGAAAATCAGTTCACTCCTGTTGGTGAGCTTTTGTGGCAGTCTCATGAAATATGTCAAGGTCTAACCCTGACTGTGCAGGGATCAGAGGGATATCCTGAGGGATGTGTGAAGTCATACTTCATTGAGATGATTCTGAAGGTCAGGGAATAACACCAACACTTGCCGAGATCACGACTCTTTTTGGGAAGAGACTTTGCTGCCTGGGGCCAGAGCATTAACAACACCTGGCTATAATAGAAATCTGTCATGTTCATGGCTCTCAATCAACTTCTGAATATTTTTCCATATTTGGGAATATTTGCATGTAATGAATCCTACCTCCCCAATATTCAAGTCAGAGTTCGACTTTGCAGACTCTGCAGCCAGGATTCGGCATGCAATCAGAGTGCTGCCAATCTGATTGATGCCCATATTTGAGATTCATCCAGAAATGGGTAGCGTGAAAAAGCAGGCAGTACAGTGCATGGAGTTTCCATGTTTGCTGACATGGATGGCAGCAGAGGCCTCGGCTTCCAGAACCAGTGATGAGATCTGCAGGGGTGGGCAGGAGCACCTGCAGTTCCTGAGACCTAGTGCTCACTGGTGCAGGCACAGTAGTACCTAGTGTTCACTAGTGCAGCACCAGTTTCTCCCACTTGGGCTAGTCCTACAGCACAGTTTAGGGCATCATTGCTGGAAACAGTACCTCGATTTTACTTCTCCATTACCTCAATTTTACAGCCTTCCGAGTTATTATTTATCTTTGAGAGTAAAATCCTCTGATTGCCTCAGCCAACCATGGTGAAATCTGTTGTCAGCAGCCGAGAACCCACGGAATGTGCTGGATGACCAGGAACACCTGACTGAATCCCTGGCCTCTCCATCACACTGCCGTGTGAGCCATTTCTACAGCAGAGAGGGTCTGCCTGAGCCTCCTCCATGTCCTCCTTGCGTCACATGGAGTGCGGAAAGGGATGGAAGGAAAGAACCCTTCTCTCCATTGCCACCATTCCAGGAGCTCCTACAGAACAAGTATGCTTTCCTAACACTTTTAGCTTAACTTGTGCATGTAAATACTTTTTATGCTATAAATTTTATAAACGCTAAATACTGATCAAATATTTCTGATAAAAATTGAGAACATTTTCACTATAAATTGAGATGTGTTATAACTGTAAACTACATATGAAATTCCAAATACTTTAAGAAAAAGAGAATGTAAAATATGCCATTAATAATTTTTTATTGATCACATATGGAAATTATAATACTTTGAATATATTCTGCTAAATAAGATATATTATTAAAAGTGACTTAACCTGTTTCTCTTTACACTTTTTGAGGTGACTACTAGAAAATATAAAATTGAATGTGTGACTTCACTCTATTTCTGTTGGTCAGCACAAATCTGGATACTGGCATGAATGTCACTCAGCAGATAAACAGGGTGCCGAGCACACGTTACCTCTGAGCACGGGAGTGTCTCACCCTAAAGACCTGACCTCTCCTGCTCATTCTCCTCCCAGCTCTAAACACAACAGGAATAAGTTTAGGCATGGGCTTCTACAACATGCATGAAAGCAGAAGTCACAAATTTACTGTTTTTAGGAACTAGGCAGATAACTGTGGAGAGCAGGATCAATAAAATGGCATTGGTCCAATCAAGATAGCATAAAGTACATAAAACAAAATGGAATCACTCATGTCAACCAAAGATGGCTATCAGTCACCCATGACACTTTGATTCAAGAGGAAAACTACCAAAGTCACACTAGATACATCTGGCAGGAGACACACCCAAGATATCTGTACATGTGATCAGAGTAGCCATGTCTGCAGAGTGGGACCACCCATGGATATAGGCTCCTGGGCCAATTCTATATTCGACAGCAAAGATGCCAAGACATTTATTTAAAAGACCCAGAAAGGTAGAATACACCACTGTTAAGGTATAACAGACAAATTCCAGACCACGGCTGAGACAGCCAAGCTCCACACACCAGAGCGCTGCTCCACCCCATGCTGAGCTCCCTTTGGAATCGACCACTGAAGGCTCTGCCCTGCTGGACTGAAGACTTTGTCTGCCCTGCTGTCCACCTGACTGTAGAGAACCTTCTATGCAAGATACTGCCACTCCCTTGCCCACTGTGCTGTCTCCCACACCTGCAGACTGAGACTCTGGGACTTGGATTCATTATCCCCCCTTGATTGTGTGTGTGTGTTATAATTCTCTTAGATTGTTAGAGTGTGAGTAGGATATTAATGTGTGTTGATGTTCTACTTTGACTGAACCTGCATTCAATAAATGCTGAGTGAAAAGCATAGTTACTTTGTGTGACTCTTGTCTATTCTTTGGTGCCAGGCTGCTCAGCAGGCAGCTAGCCCAGCAGTTACCCAGCTGACATATAGGAAAGTCTATGTCACCAACATACGCTGGTGACACTAACCTATCAAGAAAGAGCTGGAGGTAAGGCCACAGGCAGTGACGAATTGCTCTATTTAAAGGCCATATGCAAAGAAAAATCTCCAAGTGTATGTCCCCTGGGTCACCCCTGTGCCATCTCTGCACAATGCTATGAATTCAAAGAAGACCCTTGGAGAGCCTGTAACACAGCTGATTCATTCTAAGACTGCAGCCAGAGAAATGAGAGCTGTTCTAATTAATGCTATGGCCAGGCCTGAGCGCTAAGTCTCTTAATGTCCCTAGAACATGTCTCAGCTGTAAGTGACAGCAGATACACGCAAATCAGGTTTGATTTGGGAAAGGCAAAACCCAGCATACAGGGATCAGACAGCCTGCCACCTATCCCAAGATTTCCAAGCCTCCCTTTCCTGGCACTTCCACTTCCAGCCCCTTCTGAGGAATTAGGGAAGGGAGGAGCCAGAGGCATCAGTCCCATCACAGAAACCCTCCTGGCCTTTGTTCACATTCCCAGAAGACTTAAAACTCTTAAAGTGATTTCTTCATGGTCAGGGAAGAACACAAAATAAAGATGCCTTTGGCTGGTGTGGAAAGCAAGGACGAGATGATGGGAGAAAGGGGGGAAACTGTGTTGAAATTCCAGGGTGGAAATGCTCTTGGCAGACCAATCCTGAGCCAAGTGCAGGGGGAGGAGGCCAAGGTACCAACCTGGCGTGGCTGGCAGCCCCTGGTGGGATGGGAGGGCTAATGACAAGGGTGGGGGAGGATGGATGGAGCTAAGAGAAGAGGGAGAAGGTGGAAGGGCCTCACTTGCTTCCAACAGAAAGAAAAGTGAACCTCCCTGATTTACCATGCTGGACCCTGACAATTTTCAAACTGGAAGAACAACCTACAAAATGCTCCCTCCAACCTGCCCCTCTCAGTACAATTTTACCAAATAAAATCATTTATACCCACAACCCAATGTATCAATCCGAGCAAAATACAGCTAGTAACAAAGAAGAGCAATTTTCATATTTTATTATACAACATTGTTCATCATAGAAAAAGGCTTAATGTTTTTAAATTAAATACAGAAGCAAATTGTTAATGTTGCCAAAGAGATTGTTCACCTGCCCTTGAAAAAGTTAACACCTGTTTGCAAACAAAAGAATGCTAGAGTTAAGTCAAACTCTTTGTTCCCTCTTCAGGACCCAGCTATCAACTTCTTTTCTATATAGTGTCTAACACATAGTAGGTGCTGAATAAAATATTTGTTTGACTGGGGGCAGGGGGTTGTTCTTTAATCTCTTTGTTTCCTGACCCTAAACTGGATCTTGATTCATAAGGTCAAATCCCCACCCATCCATTCCTAGGGTAGCCCAGTGTCTTTGCGTAGCCCTTGATATATAACATTGGTTTTAGAAACACTTGCTTGAGGGGAATGACAGAGGGTTTCAGAGAATGAAACACACAAAGGCAGATGCAGTAACAAAGTAGAGAAAAGAAGATGCTAAGACACAGAGTCACAGAGAGACAGATTCAGGGATGAAGGACTGCAGCAGATTGTGGCAGCAAAATGAAGTCACTGAGACTTAAAACTCACAGTTTGAAATAAAGACATAAAAGGTTGGGCAAGAATGATAATCTTGAAGTTTCCTTTCAGCTTTGATGTTTTATAACAGACATAACGGCAGAGAGAGAAAGACAAGGCAAGGATAAAAAGACAAAGAAAGGCAAAGGAGACAGGTGGACAGCTAGGTATGATCGATCTGGCCTTGAACCCCTGTGGACCCTCACCTCGCACCCATGAGGCCAAGCTCCTCAATGCCTCAGCCCTCTGTGCTCTCTCTTGGCTCCTACCCTCAGTATAGTCACCATCTCCCCCTCCCCCCACCCAAAGGCCTCTGAATCAGGTTCACATGTCCAGCACCCTCACTGCTCCAGCCCATACTCAGCTCCCTCTCTTCTCGACCCCTGGAGCAGTACAGCTCATTACGCTCCCACATCCCCTAATCACAGGATACACAGGGTGGGGCGAAAGCAGGTTTACGGTTGTTCCTAGGGAAAATAATACAATAACTAATAAATAATAACACAAGAGTAAACTCTTCCGCTACTCACAACTGTAAAGCTGCTTTTCCCCCACCCTGCATGCATTGTTTTAGAGTTTGCCCTCAGCTTCTACGAGCCCATCTTGACTCCCACGAGAGAACTGTAGGCTTGTCAAGTCTCCTAATTCTCTCATTTATTCCAAGATTCCGCATGATACCCAATCCAACTTTGGGTATCACGAGGTGCTCGGTGAGAACTGTGAGCTGACCAGTCCCCCAGGCGTGCCAACACCGCAACCTAGCAGTCCATTGGTCTATTAAATAGCTTTCCCCAAGCGCAGCCAAGTGAGGCCATCTCCCGTCCTCCTGCGCCCCCTGCCGTCCAGGAGGGGATCTGCATGCAGGACAAAGCGGATCACAAGGGAGCTCCTGATCCTGAGAGGCTGGCGGGTGATGGCAGTCTAGCCTCACAGTGGCCATAGGCGTGGGGATTTTGATGAGGTCGGCGGGCACAGCCAGGAACAACAGCTATGTTCTCCCTAGGTGTCCGGGCACACCCCTGTTCGTAGAGTGCTGCGGACCGCCCTTCACCCCGGGTGGTTGGGCACTCAGAGCTTCTCCATCTCCAGCTCCAGGCCCTGGCTCTCCCAGGCGCTCCCGCGGACCGGGGCTGGGCTGTCGACCTTCGTCTGGCTCAGGTAGTTCTGGATGACAGAAGCGCAGTCCAGCCGCTCCATGAGGGTCATGAAGTAGTGCAGCTCCTGCAGGCTGCCGTTCTGCTCCTCAAACAGCTCCAGGATGGCCGCCGCAGGGCTTCGCTGGCAGGACAGGAACCTGGTCCCAGGTGTGGGAGGAAAGGAGAGGAGCCAAGAAGCACTGCAGTGAGAACCACACCCTGCCCCCAGCTCTGGTTCTCATCCTGCTCTTGCTGCCTTCCAGGAGACTCAAGGTGGCGGGGAAGAAGGGAGGGCCCAGGACTTTGAAATCTGAGATTGCAGTGGCTCAAAGGTCACTCCTCTCTAAGCCTCAGTTTCCTCTTCTTACCCCGAGGGCTTGAGAACCTGAGGTGGCTTGCAGCTCTGATCTGTAGTTGCCCTCTCTACTTCCAACAGCGACCCTCCCCCCCACCCCACCACACTCTGCTTTCCTCTTTCCTCCCTCCCAGGCCCCAACATTCTGCCCACCACTGGGGAAACAGTTGTTCTAAACCATGGCTTTTACCAAGACCCTCCCCTGCTCAAAAACCTTTCAGAGTCTCTTCTGCCTGCTCACCAAGCTCACACCCCTGATTTTCCCACTCATCCACCACTTGGCCTTGCCCTGTTTTTTTTTCCTCACCTTTCCTTCCTGCTCCCATCCTGAACCTTCCTTCTTCAGGCTAACCATTTACCACTTTGCAAACAACCTGCCCACAAACTCTTGCTGCTCCTCGCAAATAGAATGGCCAACCTCCCTTCCCATCTCCCAGGGGAAGAAGACCATTCTGCTCTCACGACTTCCTTTAACTATTTTGTGCCTCTATCCACTTTCAACTTGCTCTGCAATATAGGATACAAGCACTAAGGCTCAAGGAGCACTTGCCTTTATTCTGTTAAGCAATTTGTATCCCTTATTAGAATGTGAGCTCCTGGGGGCTAGGACCATTCATCTTGTGTCCTAAAGCTTAGCAAAGTTCTCCAGGACATTGTAGGTACTTGATAAATGTTTAATAAATGAGTGATTTTAAAATTCATCCTGTTTCCAGCTGAACCCAGCTCTAGTCCCATCTCCTAGGTGAGTTCTTCCCTGAGCACTGCACTCACAGTCTGGGTTCTGGGGCTTAGCCCAAAATTGTTCTACTGGTTTCTCTTGACAGAGACCATGGCTGCATTGCCCCCATTATTGCCAACATTTATTAACATTTGCCAGGCACTCAACTGCATGCCTTATACACATTGTTTTACAGTCTGTACCTCGGGGTACAGCATGTTAAGCATTCATATGTAACTTACATGTTAATTGATTTATGTTTAAGTTTTCATTGAGCACCTGTTAGGAGCCAGGCATCATTCTAGGCTGAAAATATAGTGGAAAAGGGAAAGACCTGCCCTTTTATGGACAATATGGTAGATGGAAGTAGCCATTCTCTTCCTTTTAAGTTTCTTTCTTATCCGGCGTCCTAAGAGCCCCCCCTTCTCTCTCATCCACATACTCGCCCTTCTTACCGAATCTTCATGCCGCAGAGCCCCAGGTGAGCAGCCAGTTTCCTCCAGTCATTGCCTGTGATGCTGTTTGGCTCCAACAACATCTGCAGCTGCTCAAAGAGCTCGGGGGGCAACCTGAGGAGAACCCAGGAAAGGGTGTTTTCAGAGGGGAGGGTCAAAGACTCCCAGTCTGCTTCTACACATTCCCAAATGCCACAGGCTCTGGGAGGGAATCCCAAACACCCCTCAGGCAGCAGCCCGAGCAACCCCTATCTCACCTGTTGCATGGAGGCGGCTGGGAGACAGGGGGTGGCACTGCCCAGGATTCCTCCTCTGATACCTGGAATCTGAGGATTTCCATGTACTTGGTCTCCAAGCCCTGCGCCAACAGAGGTGCCAGGGACACACTTAGGGATCAGAAGACATCTAAGCAAGAAGCTGGGGAACCTACCTCCATTTCTCATGTTGTCCCTCAGCCTGTCACTCAGGGCTACTTTATCAGTAGATGCAACCCACACAGGACCCCCACCCTCTGCTTCTCTGACCCCAGAACCTTCAGCCATAAGTTTCTGTGCTGTGGTTTTTGGGACCTGGGGCATGAAGACCAAATAGAGTGCATCCTAAGATGCCAGGAGATGTCCTGGGTGGGGTCCTGGGACACTGAACTCAGGCATACATGTCCCCTTCCCTCCACTCCACCTTTCCTTGATTTCTCCTCCCCAGCTGACACCCCTGAGGGGTATTTGCCTGCTCTCCACTAAGATGCCACCAACCCTCATTTCTTCATATCTTCCCTAAGAGAGTGGGATATCTAACTCCAATCCCACCTAATGAAGACGCCTTCCTGGCCACTCTCCACACTGAAGATATACATCATCTCTCAGGTGAAGACAATCAGCTTAGAAAGAAACCACATCTCTTTGATGCTCAGATTCCCCTGGGTTAAGAAGAGGTTTGGTTCTTTTACCCTCCTACTGGATTCATCCATGAACAGACAAGAGTCAAGGATGGGGAGTAAGTTGGAGGCCAGGTACCATCTTCGCCTGCTCGATTATGTGATTAGGGCCGTACTTACTGAGCACCAGATTCCTCTCTCACCTTGTCCAGCACTCCCCCCAGGCCCTAACGTTCCATTGCCTCAGCTCCAACTCACATCTTGGAAGGTGTGCATGGTGACAATGATCTCATTGGTTAGTGCTGAACAGTCCTCATTCTCATTGGCTACAAAAAGGAGAGTATGTGGCAGGTGACAAAAGAAAAGTCCTGGCGTAAGAGCAGGAGACCTGAAAGGGGCTCTACAGTAGGGCCTGGAGAGCTGAGGAAGCTGGGCAGGACACACCATCTCCTCTCTGTGAACAGGTCTGTGTGCGTGGCCGAATGCGGAGCTGCAGAGCTCCAGGGTGCCCAGGTAGGGAGAGGAAAGGAGAGGTCAGGAAGTGGGCTTGGGTGCCTAGACTACCTGCTTTTCTCCGGAAGCAGAAGGAGCGGAAAGGGCACTTTCCATGCCAGATGTGGAGATGGGGAACTAGCTGGCAACTGCTGTCATCCACATTCTCCCAACCTGGGGAGGTGACAGAGAACAGAAGGTCTCAGAGGGCGGGGCCTTCCACGGAGTTTAAGGAATCCTGCTCTGTGGCGGGTACTATGCAGGGTACTGTGCTGAGGGATGAGGAGGGAGCGAAGTCAAGAGGGGGGTCTCCAGTGAACGGGAGTCCACAGAGCCTGGGCAGGAGACCCTGTGAGTGGTCTTCCTTCTACCTCCACATACTTCCTACACATACACAACACGCAGACCCCCCACCCTTGCACCCTCCCCTCCAAATCCCCCGCTCATCCACTACCCCCAGAAACTCCACGTCTGTGTGCCCATACAGATGCCCTAGGTCCCAGGGGCAGTCCCCACAGCCCATGCCACACAGGAAAGGGCCCAAGCAGAGAAGGCTGGGACTCCTCCTCCACGTGAGCTCCATCCAGGTGGAACAATAAAAGCGTCCTCCTCCCTCCTGACTGTGCCACGTCTCTCTTCCCTTCCTCCCACTCTGCGTCACTTTGTCCTCCCGGGGAGGAGGCGGGGCTGAGTGAGCCCCAGAGAGACGGAGGAAGTGGGCAGAGCCTGGGGCCCCTGGAGGCAGCAGCGGAAGCCAGAGGGCCCCCCTTGGCGTCTGCCCAGTGGTCTCTGAAAGCAACCTGAGGCGCTTAGATTTCTACCCCAGTGGGAGGCCCAGACCCCTCCCTCACCCTCAGAGATGTACTTGAGCTTTAGATACTGGTCCCCTCGGGCCCCAGTGAAGTCGAAGAGCTGGCATGGCCCACGCAGGCGGCCACCATGGGGCTGCTCATTGGTCAGGGCCCACTGCAAGGCGCAAGGTGTGTTGTTGAGGAAGTAGACACGCAGCTGCAGGTGGGTCTGCCCTGGTGCCAGTGGTGAGCAGAACACTGCCAGCTGTAGCCACTTTCGAGCTTCTTGGCCTGCTGGTGCCTCCAGCACACAGGTGTAGAGGCTGCAGAGTAAATGGGAGAGAGTGACAGAGACAAGCACATAAGCCATGCAGTTCCTGCTGTGCTAGAGGCCTCTGTGTGGCCCTTCAAGGAGCCTGGGACAGCAGGCCGGGATGTGCAGAGGGAGTAGGTGGAGGTGGGGAGTTGGTAAGGGGACAAAAAGTGGGTCACATTCAGTGACCATCACAGAGTATGGGAGAAGAGCCAGTAAACATCCTCCAGCACAGGACAGTGGGCAGGAGGGCTCAGGGCCACCACGCTTCAGAAGGGTCCCACAGATGGCTGGTCCTGCTCTGGTTAACGAGTGTCAGGGAAGTGAGAGGAAGAAGGGCCTAAGACAAGAGGTGAGATGGCTCTTAGAGCCCCGGAGGAGACAAACCGCCCTAGACAGTGGGGGGATAATCCTGAGCAAGGGCGCAGGGCATAGACAGACAACCTTAGAGAGACAAAGGTGGGGAAAGGACAGGTCCCCTCCAGAAAGAGGACGGGGGTAAGTCAGGCCCTTCTAGACAGGCAGAGACCATGGGCGGGGGGGTGGGGGCAGTCCTGGACAGGGTTGGAGAGACACAAGCTGTCAGAGACTCCAGGACAGAGGGATCAAAGGGACACAACAGGACAGGGGATTTGCAGGCCATCTGGGACAGATGAAGGGGCAAATCTGTACAGAGAAATGAGGATGGGCAAACAGGAGAGAGGGCAGAAGGGACAGGCCGATGGGTTCGTGCCTACCTGAAGTGGGAGAGGCTGATGCGACACTCGTCCAGGGAAGTGTGGGCCCCTGACTGTCCCAGGGGCTTCCAGGCCTTAGCTTCGAGCAGGTTTGTGTCGCTGCTGTAGGTGTGGGTGTGGCCGGGCTGCTGTGCACAGTGCTTGAAGGTGAGGGTGCAGGGCTTCAGGAAGGAGGCCCCGTGGGGTCCACACGCCACCACGGGGCTCACCAGCGCCTGGGCTCGGGACAGTGATGGGGCATCCGACAGGTCCCACACCAGGATCAGTGACACCCGCTCCTGGCGACCCACAGCCACAGCACCTGGGGAGACAGAGACCTGGGAGGAGCCTGACAAGCAGGCACACCCAAGCCCCAGGGAAGGCCAGGCCAGAGCTGGAGGGGAGGGGGGCAGGAGCCCAGGGTAGAGGGTGCCCACACGGGAAGGCAGTACAGGTGGAGATCAAGATGACTGTGAGCTGACAAGTCACCTGCCCTTCTTACAGGGCTGCCACTAGCCCTTCCAGGGTGTGTGTGAATTTGCAAAAAATGCTCTTCCTCCACTTTATTTTCCTTTATTGGAGGATTGTCATAGCATACTGTTCATTAGAACAGGGCACTTTACTTCCACCTGCCAGGAAGTTGTCACAAAAATATACAGTATATTCATCTTTGGAGTCAATAAAGTCATACTAAAAGTACAAATAATTTTCAAAATTAGGAAGATGTCTATGAATGACGCACCCTCCAATGTACAACACTCAGTCTGAACAACTACATGGTGAAAAGGGAGCTGGGGTGCTGTTACCTGGCGGGATGAGCAGGGAGATGCCTGTGTCCTTGAGTATCAGGCAGCCGCCCCGGTGATCCACCTCTCGAGCTGAAAATACTAACAGCTTGTGCATCAGCTGACGGATGACGGTGTGGCCCTTGGTGGGCATGTGCAGTTCCTGGTAGAAAGCAGCCATCTCCGACAGGGTGGCTGGTGGGCATGGCCTTGAGGACTCGCTTTCTGGTAGGGGCAGGGGTTCAGACACTGGCTCCTCTTGCCTATCCAGCTTCCAGAAAGCCTGCAGCGTCCAGCAAGGACAGTGCCATCGAAGGCACTGCACCAGAAGGAGGACACTTGCCACCAGAACCCCCACCAGCAGTAGGAACTGGGCAGGTTGGAAGGAACTCTGCTGCAAGCACATCTGCCTGGTCACTGGATGCAGCCAGCTCCCCTGCTCCCCTGTAAGAGCCAAGGCCAAGGGCAGGACAGGGAAGGAGGTCAGTGCCTGTCTAAGACTTTTCAATGCTGTAGAGGCCAAGACTTGGCTTCCAAATGACTGCAATGAGAGAGCAAAGCCCGGTGTGCTCCGAATACCCAGTCAGATGAATTCCTTTAACAGAACTTCACCCATTTCTCTCTTACTCAAGAACCAACCATAGCGCTTCATGACCTAAACATCAAATTTAACTCCCCTGAGGCAGAAAGAGCTTGGGTTTAGAGGATGTGAATTCAAATGCCACCTTGGTCACTGGCTGAGTGTGCTTGTCATGTTCATTAATGTACCTTGGTTCCCTTGTCTGTCAAACTATCTACCTTGATCTACAGAAGCCAATATAGGAAAAAATCTTATGTGGAAAAACAATTCACAGGGAGCTACAATCCTCTGGTCTCATTAATGTAAATAACAAAACCATATATATGTATAGATACATATTTATAAGTGTATATATGGGGGTGGCAAAAGTAAGTTTACATAATACAAATAAATCATACAATAATTAATAAATAAATAATACAAGAATGAACTGTTTTTTCATACTCACAGCTGTGAACTGACTTTTGCCAACCCCAGATACTAAGTTACAGAGAAAGGTCTGGAGTCGTGCTGTGCAATGCAAATACAATGTGAGCCACATGTGTAAGTTTAAACTTCCTAGCAGCCAATTTAAAAAGGTTAAACAAGGAGACATTAATTTTAATAATATATTTTACTCCATATATTCAAAATAGTATTACTGTGACAAGTAATCAATATAGAATTATTCATGAGATATATTTTTCATCCTTTTTTCGCAGTAAGTTTTTGAACGCCGTGTGCATTTCACACTTACAGCACATCACTGTTGGGACTTGCTCCGTGTCAAGTGCTCAGCGGCCGCAGGTGCTAGTGGCTCCTGTCTCGGACATGCAGGTCTGAGAGGACAACCCCCAACACATTCCCAGTGTGCTCCTCAGTGACAGAGACGAGAAACTGAGAGGGCGGGAGGTGTAAACCAGCTTTTTTCAACTGTCTTTTATCTGTTTCCTTTGAATTTTCAAACTAGGCATGTATTTTATATTAACTTTGCAATGCTTTTTAAAAGCTGTTACAAGTGGAAAAAAGTTACCTTTCAGTGATTCTGAGGATGGCATGAGATCATGTGAAAAGCATGTGTAGGTGATAAAGCCCTATCCAAATATGCCTGTTCATTTATGCCTCCCCCCGCCTTCTGCAGAAAGGCTGGAAGGGAGCCCACAAGGATACATGAAAATATAAAAGTAACAAAAGTTAAAAAGTGAGCCCTGGCTGATGTAGCTCAGTGGATTGAGCACGGACCTATGAAGCAAAGGGTCGCTGGTTCGATTCCCAGTCAGGGCACATGCCTGGGTTGCAGGCCAGGTCCCCAGTGGGGGACACATGAGAGGCAACCACACATTGATGTTTCTCTCCCACTCTTTCTCCTTCCCTTTCCCTCTCTCTAGAAATAAATAAGTAAAATATTTTTTTTTAAGTTAAAAAGTGAAAGCAAAAAGAGAAAAACAAAGCTGGCAGCCTCCAGTGAGGCTGGAACGAGGCAGGGGTAAAGCATAAATTGACCACCTGCTCATCTGGCTACCCAGCCACCCACCGGCAGCGGGGAGGCTCACACTGGGACCTGGGCCTTCCAGCAGCCTCCTGCACACATGTCAGCTCCTCCTGAAGCCCTCCAGAAACTGCTGCCTCTCCCTCCCCTGATTTCCAGTACTCTCTACTCCAGCCAGACTGAACTCCTCACATCTCATTAATTCTTACCTCGGACTTCTGCTCATACTGCTCTCTTTCACTCCTCACCTGTGCTCCCTACCTGCCTTTTAACCTCACCTGGACCCCTCCTGCTCAATAAAGCCCCAGCCCTACTCCCGCTCCTGGCTCAGCAGCCCTAGACAGCCTCATGCCTCCAGAATCTCCCTACGCTGCGGTCCCATCATACTCAGTAACTTTTGGTCACGTGTGTTTTTCCCCCCTCAAATGAACATTTTCTGAGGACCAGCTGCCTACCAGGCACTGCGAGTTTAGTCTTCCTGAAGATGGCATCCTTTTCAGCTCTCAAGAAGCTTCTGGGGGAAAGGGACTCATTCACTACATGGCAGATTCACAAGTGTCTGGCATCTGATGCTCCCCACTCCCTACACTCAAACCACCCCGGGGAGCTGAGGCCTTGCCCAGCCCCCCCCTCCCTCACTGCCCACCTGCCTTCTTCCTTCCTTGGGACCCATGGAGCCTAAGCCCCGTTCCTAGCTCCTCCCAGACAGGGACAGAAGCTCCTCTGTGTCCTGAGGACTGAGGACGGAGGATCTGTCTCCCTGTGTCCTCCCTGAAAATGAAGACGGGAAGGGAAGGTGGGGCACTGTTCCCTTTGTCACAGGGCCCAGCTGTGCAGATGGTGCTGCCGGCCTTTTTCAGGCACACGAGTGAAGCGGGTGAGTTGGCAATGCCCCGCATCTGGTGGGAATGGGGCCGAAAGAGATGAGAAGCTTCCCTTTACATCCCATCCATGCCTTTGAGTTCTTCCACATTAAAGATCATTGGGATTATAACTGTAATAATAACAGCTAACATGTACTCTGCACTGCAGTGTTGAAGCACTCTATGCGGCCTCTCTAATTCAATCCTCACTGCAGCCTTGTGAGCTAGGTGTTCCTTATGTTTCCATTTCACAGACAAGGAAGCCAACTTCTCTCCCCACAGTGAGGACGGATGGGAGATTATTAAACCACGACCGAAGACAGGAGAATGAGCGGGGATGACAAGGACTTCTGGAAACACTCCCTTTCTCTTCCTGCTTCTTGTTTTTCCCCAGGTCTCTACTTTTCCACTTTTAGTAGAAATGAAGTTGGAAGAGAAGTAAACAAAAATAAAGTAAAGACAAACAGAAGAAACTAAAGGCACATCCTTGGTTCCACAGTGAGATACAACCCCCCACCCCCGCCCAGCGAGGTACCAGCAGCAGGGATGGGACAGCCCAAGTGAAAGAAAGGTACAGCTCCACTCTGGCTTTATAGCACCACCTTCCTTGTGCTCCAAAGACCAGAGTCCAAATCCCTTCCACCCCATTATGTGGCACAGCAGAGTCCCCTTGCCCAGCCTCCCACACTGGACCAGTTGGTATGTACTGCTTCCCAAAGACTCACTGGGCTTTTCAAATGGATCCCACTCACTACCTGGCCTGGAGCAGGTCAACGCCTCCACCAGCTCAGCCCTCATCCTCCCACACTGACAGTTGTCCTCTCCAGTCTGCCTCAGCACCCCCCCTCCATCTTCCCCTGTGCCCCAGGAGGGTCCTGAATTGACAGCATGGCCGCCACTACATCAATGTAGACTGGAGCTTCACAACCCCATGCCTGACCCCAGTGTCAGCCCCCAGTTCCCGAGATGCAGGTCCTTTGGAATGCTGCCATTACCTGTCCCTAGGGAGTCACCTCTGCTAGCACAAAGATTTAGGCTCCTGCTGCAAAGCTCTGCTCATCTCCTTTGAGGAAATTCTCAACCCATCTCCCACATCACTGGCTCTTACCATGCCTACTCAACCCTAATAGATTTCCACTGATTGAAGGACATGAAATGTACCAAGATGGAAGAGTCCAAACCTCAGTCATGGGTAGCATTCATCAGCATAGCATACATGTCCACAGTACACAGAATTACACCCCTGGTCCTCACACCCACTGGGCAGTGGCCATATCCCAAGCCCCTCTGCCTCTCCTCCAGCACAGAGTCTCTGGCAGCCTTGGCTGAGCTGGCCTGACTCCTCCTGTAAGCCCCAGGTGGCCCCAACACAACCTCAGCTGCCCTAGAGGCGTGCTTACCTTACCATGCAGGTGCTCCCAGAGGCTGCCTGCTTATTTAGAAACAGTACTTTCTTCCCTGAGAAAAATAGAGGTCAGCCAGCCCCGTCACCAGGCCAGCAGACCAGTGCAGGTGGGTGGAGAATCAGACAGGAGTGGCCCAGGGCTTCCCGGCAGAGTCCTCCTCCCAGCCGCCCCACATTGGTTTGGGGAAGCCAGTCCCTGACTGTTGGCAAAGTCCAACCAGGGTGGGGGAGTAGCCGAGGATCCCAGAAGTCAGTGAGCTTGCCAGTGTAGATTTGGAAGGGCAGGGACAGAGAGGAGACAACCTGTGTACAGGTGCACCCCAGGTACAGGAGAATGCCCTCCCTACAGTGCCCTCTGCTGGTGAGTGGCTTTCCCCCACCAAAGGCTATTGAAATGGCAGAATGTAAAAGGAGGGAGACTTAACCAAAGCCTCTTAAACTATAATGTGCACAGGAACCACCTAGGCATCTTGTTAAAATGTGGGTTCTGGCCCCATAGTTAGGGGGTGGGGCCTGAGCTTCTGCATCTCTAAAAAGGTCCCAGGTGCTGCCAGTGGGCAAAGGCCAGGGAGCTTAGTGTCCAGTTCCAGCCCATCCCTGCGCAGAGATGACAGAGAGGCACTGAGAGGGCGTGTCTGCTCCCACCCAGTGTTCTTTCCACTGCCCATACTTTGAGCTGACACTGAGGAAGAGCTGAACTTCAGGCCATTTGCCAGCCCTAGTCCTTCTTTAGAAACAAACTCTGTCTAGGAAAGATACTGCTACTGGAATGAAAGCTCCCGATAAAAAAAGGATTATTTTTTAGCTGTTTGCTGCTGTATCTTTAGCTCTGGTACAGCCTGGTTCAGAGCAGATGTTCCACAAAGACTTGTTGAATGAATGCATGGACCAGCTAAGAGAAAAGACGCATTTTGAATTCAGACTGCCGACACTGAACCCAGGTGACCCACCTGTCAGCTAGGTAATCTTAGGTGAGTAACTCAACCTGTCTGAGCTTCATTTCCCTTGTCTGTCAAATGCAGATAATATCTACCTTGTAAGAGATAATCATCGTCATTATTCAGCTAATAAATATAAAGCACTCACTGCAAAATGGTACACAGTAAGTGGTTATCTCCATGGTCTGGCCTCCTGCAGTGAAGAAGCCACAGTGAACTCTCCCATCCCCCAGTTCTATCTCCTTTAAAACATAAAGAACTAAGGAACTGCCACAGCTTTCATCTCAGTTAATGATTCTCTAGCCTCTTGCACCTAACTGCAACCCCTCCCTCTTGCTGCCTTCTCCTGATTAGAGGCAGGAGGGTGGGATAAACATCTCCCAGGGCCCACAAAGTGGAGAGGTGGGCAAAGGAATGGTGGAGAGCAGCCAGCCTGGAAGGGGATCTCATGTGTAAAGTACAAGCAACGGAGAGTACTCAGAACTTTGATGGGGACCAAGGCGGGAGAGGTTAGTCTGTCCTGGGGGAAATTCTGTCTGAGTCACACAGAAGGCTGTGTTTTCCTCTGGGTCATAAAGTTCTAGGGGTTTGTGGAAGATGTCGAGCTTGAGTTCCAAGCCAGAAAAGGCCATGCCGACCAGCAAGCTATAACCAGGGGCCATGTCCACGGATTAATTATGAACTCAGTTTTAAAGCTGGTGCTTGGGGATAATCCCAGTTACAGGAAAGGTCTACAGAAATCTGAGGGTCCCTCACCACCCTGTAGACACACAAAGCTAACTCACAGGATGCAGAGACCAAAGCTGTAAGTGGCCCTGTAACCTGGGGCTGAGCTGTCTCAGGACATCCAAGTCTCACAATGCCAAAGTCTCAATCATTCATCAAGGGGCTCCTCCAGTGGTCACAACCAGCAGACCAGGGACCCTGGTCTGAGATAGCCCCTCAGGGCCGTGCAAGCAACAACCTGGGCTCTCAAGTTGATACCACCCTTGTCACTGGAGAAGGGCAGGCCAGCTAGGAGCCCCACTCCACCCTTTTCTCCTCCCCCACCCTCCTCTGCCTTTCATACATCATATGTCCTCAGGCACCCAGACTGGGAGGTGTGCTGTCTGAGGTAAGGGGAGCACAGGCCTGGGAATAAGGAGGCACTGGGAATGGTGGAGAACAGGAGAAAAGAGGATGGGGGTGGGAGGGTGAGGCGGGCCTCCAACACTGGACAGAATAATAGAAAACAGAGACAGAGAGACAGGAAGGCAGAAGACAAACCAATAAACAATGAAGCGCAGAAAAAAATCGATAGAAGGATGGACAGGCAGGCAGACGGGTCAGCACGGTCCCTGGAACTGCCAAGACATGGTCAGCGGCCCTTGACAGGCAAGTATGCAGTAGGCAGTCAGTTACTTCAGAACCCTGAGAATAACTACCTTTTTTTTCTTTCCAATCCTGTTGATCATGAGGAGGAGGCTGACCTATTATGTGCAAATGGGAAGAATAATATGGGTTGGGGGCCTTGGCTGGAGGAGGGGCTATGCATTGACCTGCATGGGCATGGCATACACAGCAACATGCAAGTGAGCATGCAGCTTCTTAATCAAAGATCTGGAGTTTGTTTCCTTGATAAATCAGGCCATGAGAAATCTGGGCATGCATGTTTGTGGCACCTAACCTCTGAAAGTAAATAGGCATAAGAAGAACTTCCCACAGTCCCTGAGGGTTAGATGAGACCTACAGCTTCAGAGAAAAGAACCCACAGTGTCACTCAGCCGAGTTTGAATTCAGGCAGGAGGTCCAGCGGGCTGGGTCCCTGGGGTTTGCCAGTCTGGTGCAGTAAGATAAGCCCTGGGCAGATGGGCTGGCCCACTGTTGGCAAGAAAAGACCCTTAGGGATCTCAGGCCTCCACCTTTTGAACATGGTCCTTCCAGGTCAGTGATGTCACCTTATTGAGTTCAGCCTAAGACACTGATCCTGTTGAGTGCCTGCCAGGTGCCACCTGCTGTGGAAGGTAAAAAAGATGGATGGTCATAAATGGATCTGAGCTGCAGGGTTCATATCTTTGTTGAGGGAGAGGACCTTTACCTCAGAAGCAGTTATCAATACCAGACAGTATCCTCTGAGTGCCAAATGAGAGGTGTGAGAAAAATAAGTCCATAGAAACCAGAAAAGAAGCAAGGAGCGGACAGGGTGCTCAGACCAGGGCGTAGTGTCAGGTAGCAGGAGACAGACAAGGAGACACAGGAAAGGATGAAGGGGAAGGCTCGCCATGAGCATGTTCTCTGCTCTCCACCCAGTTTTTGCCTCCTTGAGGAGAATGTGGCCTCAAGGGGTCAGCTTTGTGGCCCTGCCCCAGCTGGGGCCCATCCTGGTCGGACTCCTTGCCCCGCATAAGTTGTCTGGTTGGTGTGACAGCCTGAGGAAGCTGCCCTGGTGCCCATCCTACAAAGCCTTGTTGCTTGTGTGGACAGCCATCTACTCTGTCATGGGGTGAGCACTTGTCCCCATGCCATGGCCTTGGTTACTCACTGGAGTGGGAACGAGTCCCCCACACCTGAGCTACTGCTGCATACTGACCTCCAAAAGGGTGGCACCCCATCTTGCCCTGTATGGTGGGTTCCTTCTGTGTCTGCCTAGGCTTCCAGCCAGTCCTCTCCAAGTTCCCCCACCCTTCCCCCTCTTCACCATGCCCAAATGCTCCCACCATCTCCTCTCAGCCCTCAAATGCTGCTAGACACATTTGCCCTCATTTCAGCCCACAAGGGTTCTCTCTTTGTAACCAGGAGTCCTTATGCCAGAGTGCCTCCTCCATTTGCCACGGAACATCCTCCTCCTGAGCATTTCTGCCACTATCTCTTCACAGCTATGCCTCCTACCTGGTGTGGAAGGACATGGGAGGGGGCTTCGGACGGCCCCTGGCCCTTCCTCTCGGCCTCTACGCTGTGCAGCTCGCTATCAGCTGGACTGCCCTGATTCTCTTTTTTGCAGCCCATACCCCTGGTCTGGTAAGGTACAGTGCTCAGCAGTGGAGGTAATGTTGGAGCTGGTGAGACCACCAGGCCCCAGAAGCATAGCACAGCAGCTCAATCAGGGGCGGTCAGGTGTCAGGTGGGCAGACTCCTTCCAAACTCTAGTGGAGTGCACAGAGTCCCAGGAACTTGGCTCATGGGGGCCAGGGTGCTGCAGAAAGGTCGGGGGTCTGGTTCCCAGGCCAGCCTGCCTGACTGCCCTGCCCCTGGACCAGGCCCTGCTGCACCTGCTGCTGCTCTACGGGCTGGTCGTGAGCATGGCGCTGATCTGGCACCCCATCAACAAGCTGGCCGCCTTTCTGCTGCTGCCCTACCTGGCCTGGCTCACCGTCACCACCTCCATCGCCTACCGCCTGTGGAGGGACAGCCTTTGTCCAGAGCACCAGCCGCAGCCCACAGGAGAGAAGAGCGGCTCAGCCACCAGGGCTCAGTAAAAGGAGGAGGAAGGCCAGGGAAGGGTGGAAGAGACTGCAGGCAGGCTGTGAGGCTCTGGGGGGAGGAGGAAGGGGCCAGGGATTGATGAGTCATGAAGGTGACTTCACCCCAATGTGGCCACTGCCCTGGGTCCCCTGGTGCCACTCTTCATTAGAATTTAGAGAAATGGGGAAGAGGAAGAAAAATTATTTTACACTAATGCAAGTTAATAAATTCTGTATTGATAAATATTAATTCATAATATCAATTAATAAAACCCTAAGAATAATTTTGAGGGTGTGATATGAAGGATACATATGAATTTGAGTGTATGATGTCCAGGGCCGCAGAGAAGGGGTGGAAGAAGTGTGTGTGCATGTGTGTAAGCATGTGTGAGTGTGGGTATGTGAGTGTGTGTGATGTGTGTGAGCATGCATGTGTGTAGATGTGCATGTGTGTGGATGTGAGTGTGTGAGTATACACGTGTGAGTGTGTGCGTTTAAGTGTGCATGTGTGTACACGAGGAGAAATGTATGGACACATGAATGAGGAGGGTCATGTATCATCTCCACTCCACTCACATATCCTCTCAAACCTGCCCCCAATTAATATTATATTAATTATATTAATGACCATATTTAACATATAATGTGGTTATAAGATATACATTATATGACATACTAAGGCTGTATGTAATTATTGCAAGTAATATTATAGATCATTGTTTTGTTTTCATATACTTATACTGTTAAATTTTTACATCAGTTAATAACTATTATAATGGAGAAAAATGTTGTGAATAAGGGCGATGTAAGGTTTGGTGCTGATAAGTGAATTCAGTAGGAGCTTCTTGTCCAGCCTTCTCTCTTGCTTCTCTCTTTGTAAACCTGCTCCTTGGCATCTTCATTTCAGTCTTTCCTGCCTCTTATTTTCATCTCCTCTTGTTTCGAAGCCCTAATGTTACCTACCCAAAGACTTCAACCAGCTGGAAGGCCCACACACCGTGCCCTGGGAGCTTTTAAAAATCCTGACCAGGCCCTGGCCAGGTGGCTTAGTTCATTGAAGCATCATCATGTACCCAAAAAAGTTGTGGGTTTGGTCCCTGCATAGGGCGCATACAAGAGGCAACTAATGATGTCTGTCTGTTTCTCTCTCTCTCTCACTCTATCTCTCTGAAAACAATAAATATACCCTCAGGTGATGATTAAGATATATATAAAATAAAATAAAATAAAAATAAAATACTGCCCAGGCTCTCCAAGGGCGGGCCCCCCTGAGAACCACTGCTGAGGATGACTCGGAGCCTTTGGAGAGCTTATTAAAAATGTATATTTCTCAGACCCCATCCAAGACCTAGGAGTGAGAACTCTGGGGATGGGCTCCAGGCATCTTTAGATTTAACAAGCTCCCAGCATTTTAGTCAGCCACTCACTGAACTTTGAGAGCTCCAGGCAGGGAGGGTCTCTCGGAGCCCTTATTTCTTTGACACCTGTTTCTGTAACCTAAGTTCTGGGGTTGGACCCAACTATGTCTTCTCAGGTGGGGCCAAGGACCTCACAGAGGGAGGTCATCATCTCATATAGTCAGAAGGATATCATCATCTGGAGAGTCTAGCTCTTTCTGGAGCTTGCCAGGGAAGAACAGCTGGAAAGAATCTGCACCCACCGCACTCCCACACTTGGGGCATGCTCTGCCCAGCAGGCAGGTTGGTCACCTGCACTCCTAGGGCACACACGCACTGTCTCTCCCACCTTGGTATCTTCAGCCCCCGTGTGGCACGTGGCACAGGGCACAGAGCAGGTTTTCACACATCTTTGCTGATTCCTTTAGTGATTGGTTAGTTGGTTGGTTGGTTGGTTGGTTGGTTGGTTGGTCGGTTGGTTAATTGATTAAATGAAGACCTTGTCCCATTAAAAGAAAATGCTGACCTGCACCCCACTCTGGGCCTATTTAAAAAAGCCTCTCTTTGGGGAAGGGAAAGGCATTAATAGTTTTTGAAACCTCTCAGTGGTCCTAAAGTGCAGCCGGATTGAGAACAGCTGCCACAGGAAGTTGCCTCTCAAAGTGTGGCTCAGTGACCTCCTGGGACCCTTGTTGAGACCTGGACTTCAGACCCAGAGAATCAGACCATCTGAGGTAATAAGGCCCCTGGGGTGCAGTGGTTTGCAGTTCTGGCCCTGGAGACAGAAAAATCCGGGCTTGGAGTTCATACTGTCATTTATTAACTAGTAACCTGGTGCAACTTACTTCACTGTCTGTGCTTTATTCTCCTCATCTGTAAAATGGGGACCTATAAAATTGTTGGGAAAATAAATGAGATAATGAATAAAAAGATGTCTGGCACAGAGAAAGTGCATAACAAATGTTAACTCTTCTAGGAGGGGAACCCAGGAGGCCACCCATTTATAAAGCACACATGGTTCTGATTCACGCAACACTTGGAGACCCACCCTGCTTCAAGACTCTGCAGTACTTCCAAACTTCTATGAGCCAGTAGAATGAGTGAGCTGCCCTCAGATCTGGGGACTAGCCTGGCCAGTGCCAAACACACAACATCACTGGCTCTTTATCTTACATGTTCACCTCAGTTAGCTTTAGTTGAATTTACAACTCCATTTATACATGTAATCTATAAATATTGATTGAGGGTGGTTTGGGAGCCACACTGCCTGGGTTCTTATCCTGGCTCCACTATTGCTGTGTGACCTTAGACAAGTGAACATGCTACAGATATTTGTCATTATTGTTATCATCATCTCATATAGGCATCATAAATATGTGCTGCCAATTTTATTCCTGTTACCAACTAAGTCTAGAAGTAAAACTGACCCTCCAAGAAGATGCACCATTGCCTATCATGACTTCGACCTCTCCAGGGTGAGCTCATGTCACAAAGCCAGGGTGCTGGAGGCCTCCAATTTCAGAAAGTTGGCCCTAGAAGGAAGCTTGATTTGGGCCGTGTCCCAAGCCCTGGAATAGCATGACTACCTGACATGGCTTGAGCCAAACTAAAGGACTTCCTGACTTTGTGCAGAATCATTTGGAAAGGGCAGGATTCCAACCCCAAACTCTCAACATCTGACCCCAAAGTCATTCTTAAAATCCTCCTCTGCACAAGTAACTTGTTTCCTGGGTGGGAGGCTTTAATCTCCCAGCCTCCCAGCCTGCCTGGGCCTCCTCTCCTACCCCACCTCCCAGCCCTGAACCTGGCCTGGAGCACACACTGTCCTCAGCCCCTCCTCTCTTGTTACCTCGAGTTGTGCCTAAATAGAGTCAGAGCTGCCTCCTGTCTTTGCCAAATGTGTCCCAGGACTCCACAATCCAAATCATGCGTGTGTGCTTCTTTGTCCTTGGGCAGTGTTTTCCATTTGCCCCTGAGTGGGCACATGTGTCTGAAAATGATTTACTGGATGGGGAGGGGAGAGACAGCTCTTCTCCCACCATGCAGCTGTCCCGCCCGATGTCTGGAGAGGTGGGGAGCAGCCCTGGAGGCGGTATGTCTCATTCTATTGTATTCTAGTTTCTCCTTTCCTTCCCTGAACCCTGCATTCTTCATCCCTTTGCCAATGTCTGCAGGATAGAGATGCCCAGCGGCAAGGTGAGGAGAGCAAACTGATGGGGATACCTCCAGTGGACAAAGGCTGGTGGGGCCGAGAGTGGGGCAGAATGCAGGAAGGGTTTTCTCTGTGCATCTCTGTTCCCGCCTCCCTGCAGGCCGGTTGAGTGATGCTGTGGTGGAAGGTAAGCTCCCCGCCCCACCTTGTGTTGTCAGGCCCGGCCAGGGCTCCAAAGTCTATCTTCCTCTGTGGTGACCACCATCCATTGTATCACCTAGGCTTCCCCTGCACACTGAGCCCAATTTCAGTCTTCCCAGAGGTCCCCTTTCTTGTAGCTCCAAAAAGCAAGCACAAGGCTTTTTTAAGGGTTTATTGCTGATCCTCCATAGCGTCTCACAGTTACCCATCCAAACAAAGCCTATCTTTGGATGGGGACCTTTGTGGTTTGGGTGCCCTCTTTCATCTTCAGGTAGAGTCCGCAGAGACTCCTGCCCCCTTCCTGGCTCACAAGGACCCTTCACACATTTAGGGCTCTCTCCTAACGTACAAGCAAGGCGCAACCTCTCTGTCATACTAGGGGCTCTGTCCTGTTTATTCAGCCTCATTTGTCCCTCTAGTTGTCTATATCTCCGAGGTCCCCAGCACACCCTGGAAATTATCTGCTCGGGAGTACCAGAAAAACCCTTCTCCTCGCCACCTGCACCTACCCCTACACATTTCTAAGGGTGGAAATTTTCTGAGTCAGAAGTTGATTGTTAAGTTTCTCACTCTCTCCGAGCAGATACTTGGACTCTGCAAACACCCCTTCAAAGAGGAACACTATTAGTCACCATAATGTATATGATTCTTATCAGGTTACTTTCTTCAAAGACACCGCGAAGGGAGCTGGGCAGTTCTGGGAGCTGCCACCAGAATGGAATCAAGGTAACCAGGACTAAAGTCCCAGGAGTCACCATTTGTTTCAGAGTAATGTATTCTGCATGGCAAGCCAAGCACCGTGTCCTGTGTAAGAGGACAATGAAAATTCTGACCTCCAATGTAATTCTAGTGTTTTCTCTGAGCCCAACCTCAGACTCTGGGAGACCCTTGGCCCCTCCTCCTACCCAGCCAAAGCTCTGGACACTCCCATGTTTATGTCAACAGAGCGGTTGCTGGAAGCGGCAGGCTCCTGTCCGCCAGGGGGTGTCCAGCGTGTTGTTTGTGTACCTCGTCTCAGTAGTGACCAAGCAATTGGCATTCTCGAGCTGGGTTTCTGGGGCAACGTGCTGTTGGGGTCCCAGCTGTTCCTGCACATAAAGCGCCCACTCCATCAGCATGCTCCCAAGGTGTCTCATTTCACAGGGTGAGAATTTAAACCTTCCCTTGGTGAGGATACTATTTTCCACCAGCACCCTCCTGGCCTCTCTACTGCCTTCCCCATGAGGGCAGCTCGGCATCCAGCCGAGACCCAAGAAATAGCTGTGCCTGGCCCTGTTCCCTCCTCCTCCACCCGCTCCAAGCACCTCCAAATGTTTCCTGAAGTGACTATGGGAAATGGGACAGGGAGAGGCAGGTCGTGGCTTCTTCTTGGCCCATCCAAGCTCCTTCCAGCCACTGCCACCTGGACAGAAGGGGCTAGGGCCCACAGGGACAGATTGGGAGAATTCCCTTTTTGGTTTCCATCCCCACTCACCAGCTGTCTGGTGTCTCTATGCCTATACTCTCTACACATACCCACTCCCTCAAATACCAATTGCTTCCAGAGCCCAATCTGCTTGCAAGAACTCCTTCTCTCCAAGTCGCCTTCTTGCCCCTCTTCCCTCAGAGCTTGGCCTCCCTGAGTCCTGGTAACAGTAGGCACTAAATGGTGAGGGGGTTAGCATGACTATGGAAGCACAAAGCTCTTACTAGCTACTTGACCTTGGGCAAGTCTCTTAACCTCTCTGGTCTCAATATCCTCACACACACACACACACACACACACACAACACAAACACACACACAAATGAGGATAATACTACTACCTACCCCAACATCCTTGTGAGGATGAAATGAGTTAATCTGTGTGACCCGCTTAGACCAGTGTCAGGTTCTCAGTCATGGCTGTGCTAGTGACAGCTCTCACTGTGACTGAATTTCAGACAGGATAACACGGTGGCAAAAGCATGGAACTTGGAGGTTGACTGGGTTCAAATCCCAGCATCCCACTGACTCTTTGTAAGTGCTTAAACTAGATAACTTATTCCCCAGATTCCTCCCTTGCAGGAAGGTGATATTGATAGAAACTTACTCAGAAGTGCTACCGTAGTGGGGGTGAGGGGAAGAGGGGTTGGGAATGCCTGCCCTCAAAAGAGTCTGGTGGCAGCTGCAGGAGGAGGAGTCCAGTCCAGCTCCTGGCATCTGATCCCCCAGATTAGCTGCTGCATTCTGGAGCCAGCAAGGGAAACTGGTCTTACTTGGAAAGAAGAGACAAGGACCAGCCAGGAATTCAGGCCCCCAGGAGGTGCCATAAATAGCCAGAGCTGTCAGAGGGCCTCCAGAGATGGGGGAGGGGGACTGGAAAGGAGCAGCAGAGAAAGGAAGCTGTCAGTCATCAGTCCTGGGGAAGGTCTAGGGCACTCACTCAAGTGTCAAAGGAAAAACTATACACAAGTACGGTGGGAGTGAGAGGTCACCTCTTCAGAGAGCACCAGCCGGAGGCCACCTCCGCACCACCTCCCAGCACCACTCAGTCAGCACATTCTCACCGTACTGTTCATCTCCTCCCTGCAGGTTTCCTGGAGCCAGCCCTGCTTCCTCGTCTCCACCCCTCTGACTATGCTGGGACAGAAAGCAATAGCTCAGCCTGCGTCACAGGTGCAAATACTGAGGCCCAGAGATGCTAGCTGATGGGACCAAAACCACACAGTGAATCAAGGGCTGAGATGGAGATATAAACATGGAATTTTCTTCTTTTCTCCCAGTCCAGAGTTACACATCACAGCCAAGGGAAGAAGTCTTTCCCACGGGAACAGCAAACTGAAAGGACCCCTCTCCACCACCCAGACATTTTACTCTTCCTCTCTTGAACTGAGCACATCACTGTAGCTGTGACATTGATAATGGTACACAGATAATTCATCAGAGCTAGCTGGGTGCAGCTCTGGAAATAAGAACTCAGGCTCAGAAGACCTGGACTTACCTCCTTGTGGAATCTTGCACAAGTCCCGTCCTTAACTTGCAAAACGAGGCCCATAATACGCACCGGTGTGAGACAGGTGTGAGAACTAAATGACATAATGCACGTGGACTGCTTGATGGTGCTGCAAATGTCATGAAGACTGGGAGCTCCTGGTGAGGCAGTGTCTTCCTCATCTCCGTATTCTTGGTATTTACTACAGTCTCTGGCACTATAGTAAATATGGATCCAGTAAAAGAATGAAACCAACTTTTGCATTTAAATGCTGGGTGTTTGTGTGCTTATAATAATAACATGTGCTTGCTGTTTATCAGCTAACGCTGCCTTTTCTTTGTGGACACAGGCTCTCCTACCACTATTGTGGGCTTTGTGCCCCTGGAAATATACCTGGAAAAAATCTCTGGATAAGGATGTTTTTAGTAATAAACCCCGTAGGTAAGAATGTTTCTAGTAATAAACCCCCAAAGACCATGTAGTTTTTGTCTATACTGGGCCAAATTCAGAGTGTGAGGGGCACCAGTAGTAATGATGCTTGGACGACAGGTATAAACTATGACCATTTCAGGCAAACAAAAATACCTGGGCATCTTTGGGCACCAGGCTGCTTAGAATTCTCTGGAGAAGAGAGCCCAGATCCTCCAAACCACCCTGACTCTCACTCTCTAGCCAGGCCACTGAAAGGTCCCCTACCTTCTTATCTCCCCCAGCCAATCCCATTAGGAGCTCTGTTCAGCCCAGTCTCCCACTGTTCTTCCATTCCTGTTTTCAACCTCTGGGTGACTCTGACCCCACCCTCTGTAGCCCCGAGAGCGTTCCAGTGTGTTTGCACTGTCCCAAACATGAAAACCCGTGCCCCTTCTAAGGACCTCTCATGTGAACTGCAAAAACCATCCATCCATCATCCAACTGTGTGCCAGCTCAGGGATTTCTCTAGGGACTCCATCCGTCATTAGTTTCAATAGGCTTCTAAGTAGTGTCTCTGCTTCTGCTCTTTCTCACCTTTGGTCTATTCTCAACCAAGCAGCCTGAGCAATTCTGTAAAAACTTAAGTCAGATTGTGTGTCTCATCTGTTCAGAGACAGTGGCTTTCCATCTCACTCAGAGAAAAAGAGCCCATAAGGCTCCAGCCTATTTAGCCCTTATTTATCTCTCTGGCCTCATCTCTGAGGACTCTGCAGACACATAGGTGCCCTTGCTTGCTCCCACCTCAGTGCCTTTGCATCTGCTCTTTTCCTACTTGAAACAGTTTTCCCTTAGATATCCATATTTTTTTTCCTTCACCTCCTTCAGATCTTTTCTCAATTGTCTCCTATTCAAAGTCCTTTCCTGGCTCGCCTACAAAAATTGAACACCCCTCCCTCATCACTCTGTCCCCTTTCCCTACCTTTTTCCTTAGCACTTAGCTCCACCAAATAGATCATATTTGGTGATGTGATCTTGTCCTATTTATTGTCCAACCCCTTCATTCTCTGTAAGAGCAGATTTTCATTTGTTTTTGTTCTTTGCTATATCCCTGGTATCTGAAGCAGCACCTGGCACACAGTAGATGCTCAATAAATATTTGTCAAATGAATTTAAAAACTAAGAAGAAACATAGCTTTGTGGTTGAATGTTTGGCCTCTGGAGTAAAAAGCTGGGTTTTAATAAAATACATAGGAGAAACTATAGGTACTAAACTTATCAACCTTGGTCTTAGACAGGGTTTTATGAATTTGACTCCAAAGGCATGGGAAGTAAAAGCAAAAATAAATGAATGAGACTGCATTGAACTAAAAAGCTTCTGCATAGCAGAAGAAACTTTCAACCAAAAGGCAACCAACTAAATGGGAAAAGATATTTGCAAATAATGCCTCTAATAAAGAGCTAACATCCAAACTATAGAAATAACTCATACAACTCAACAACAAAAATGAACCCAACCAATCCAATAAAAAAAAATGGGCCGAGGACCTGGCCAGACACTTTTCCCAAGAAGACATACAAATATATGCAAAGATGCTCAACTGCACTAGCTATCAGGGAAATGCAAGTCAAAACCACAATGAAATACCACCTGACACCTTTTAGAATGGCTGTTATCAATAAGAAAAGAATAAGTGTTGCAAAGATGTAGAGAAAAGGGAACCCCCATACACTACTAGTGGAAATGTAAATTGATACAGCCACTAGTGAAAACAGCATGGAGATTCCTAAAAAAAATAAGAATAGAGCTACCATATAAGCAGCAATTCCTTTTCTGGGGACCTGCCCGAAACATTTGAAAACATTTGTTTGTAAGGATATATGTGCCCCTATGTTCACTGCAGAATTATTCACAGTGTTGCCAAGACATGGCAACAACCTCAGTGTCCTCCAGCGGATGGTCAAATGCAAAAGCTGTGGAACATGGACGCCGTGGAATACTACTCAGCCACAGAAAGGATGAGGTACTGTCATTTTCGACAGCACGGCTGGATCTTAAGGCTGCTAAGTGAAATAAGTCAGATGGAAAAGGACCAGAATCATATGATTCACTCAGAGATGGGATATAAAACAGAAAGAAACAAAAGAAAACAAACAAGCAAAAACAACAACAACAAACACCCTCATAGGCACAGACAACAGGTGGTTACCAGAGGGTAGGGGAGGGGAAGGTTGAAGAGGGTAAATAAATACATGGCAGCAGGAGATGAGGCTTTGGGCAGTGAGCACACAATGCAATATACAGGGTGGGGCAAAAGTAGGTTTCCAGTTGTCAATACGTGAAACAGATTTTATTCTTGTGTTATTATTTTAATTATTGCATTATTTTCCTATGACAAGTGTAGACCTACTTTGCCCCACCCTGTACAGGTAATATATTATAGAATTATACACTTGAAATTTAAATAATCATATTAACCAATATCACCCCAATAAATTCAATAATAAAAAAAATAAAGCCTGTGTTTTAACCCTGAATCTGCCACTCATGGGCTTATGACTTTAAGCAAGGCCCTTACCCTTCTATGTATCTTAGTTTCCTCATGTATAACTTGGGGATAAGATACATTGCCTCCCAGGGCCACTGAGAGCATTAAATCCAATTTCACCTATAAACCACTAAAACTCTAAATTTAGTAAATGGCAGGCAGCATTGTTACTACTGGAGGCTCCCAAATTTGTCATCTCATTATGCGTCCATAACAGGCAAATTTGCATCTAATCCTTTTGCGTAGAGGTTCACAGTTTCTGTCCACATTGGCAGTCCTTATCCCACCCTGAGCCCAACTTTTCTCAAGCACACTGGCCTGGGTGTCTGCAACCTTAGTACAAGCCTCACCCTGCTTAAACCTCCGAGAGCGCTTTCCTCCTAAATCTCAGGGTGCCTGCCCTGAGGCCCCTTCCACAACATCCCCCCCCCTCCAACAAAGAGCTGGGGAAATTGGGTGGGAAACAAAGGGAAGGATATAAGGTGAGGGAAGAGGAGTAAGAGAATATAAATATGTGTGGGGAGGGAGAGCAGGTCAAGCCATCCCCACCTGCCAGCTTCCTGTCTTTGCCTACTGATAAATAGGGGATACTCATGGCCAGATTTTCCATTCCCCCATCCTGGCACCCGCTGTCACTCAATTAAAAAAGAGGGAGGGAGGGAGAGGGCCTGGGGGAGGGGCGGGAGGCCTTTGCTTATAAAGCCTGTGGTGAAGGGTAAGCACACTCAACCTGGCCTGCCCAGTCCTCTGCCTGCCATCCCCCAGCAGATTTAGCTGCTGACAGCTGCTTGGGACTTTGCTGCCAAGCCCTGGCCCAGACTGCTGCCTCTTCTCTCTTTCAGTGACTCCCCGGCCACAGCCCCTCCATGGCTCAGAAAAAAGAGGATGTCCCCAGCCACAGCCCCTCCATGGCTCAGAAAAAAGAGGACGCTGAGGCTTCTGCGCCTGCCTCCCAGAATGGCGAGGATCTGGAGAACCTGGATGACCCAGAGAAGCTGAAAGAGCTGATTGAACTGCCACCCTTTGAAATCGTCACAGGGTGAGAACCAGTGTGGCTTGGGGTCATCCTCCCTAGAAGAGCACAGGCTGGGGACAGGCTGGGGGAATTTAGGATGGTAATAGCAGGAGTCAGGGTCAAACTGTTAGCATGCACAGGGTGCACAGTGGGGGGCTTCTAGGGACACAGCAATCTTGCTTGGCTTCTTGGGGTGATACCACAGACCCTCTAATTAGGGGAGGCAGGAGTAGCTCCTTGGAGGCAATGAAACCACCTCTGAGGCCTCTGGGTCTTGGGACATCACCTGCCTCTTTGGGTAGAGATTCTTTAGCCCCAGGGAACCTGGTAAGTACATAGGATGACACTGACACATTTAACTATGGCCCCAGAGGACCTCCTCTCTCCACTTCTCTCTCTGCTGCTGAGCGGGCTTCTCCTCTATCTGCATGTCTCTCACCCCTTCTTTTAGAGCCTCTCAGAAGAAGATCCTGAGGCAGGGAAGACAGACTCATTCTTTTCTAAGCCTGAGTGAGGAGCAGTTTTGTCCTTGTTCAATCTTTTCTGAGTGTCCCCAGGGACTGTCTGCATCCACCCCCGGGGGAACAGGGAAGTCACAGCACACGTAACAGGCCAGGGCAGGAGCTTCTGGAGAGAGGAGATGTTCGAACCCCTGCAGCCACAGCCCAGGGGAACCAGAACCCAGAGCAAAGGGTCTCAAGGCCACAACGAGGGGGCTGCATACAGGGTCCCTCTGTCTGGTCCACACCATGCAGTCTCCAGGAATAACACCGAGTGGTCTTTCTCCTCCTCCTCCCTCTGTGTCCCTTCCAGAGAAGACCCTGCTAAGATCCTAAGCAAAAAGAACAAAAAAGGGGCCACATTTCCTCCTGAGCCCCAAGATTTCCTTCCTGGGAGCCAGCAGTGCCCACAGACAGAGTAGGGGCCGCGCTGAAAATTTCAGAAAGAATGGAGGTGTACTGGCTTCCAGAGGCAGGAGGAGCCCCGGGGGGCAATTTGGACCTGCTGTCTTAAGCTTGGCAAGTGGCTTTCCAGTCCAGGCCTCCTTATTCTCATTTGTAACATGAGCAGTTTACATTAGCCAATTCCTAAGATCCCTTCCAGCTCAGATATTTTCTGATATCTAAGAGAACCTGAGGGAAAATGCTTCCGAATTCTGGAGGCAAGAGTTCAGGATAAAGCCTCCGAACTTGTATTCTCCCATGTCCAACCAACTAATGTCGCCCTCAATTTAGGATGAAAAAACTATAGGCACAAATTAACAAAAACAGGGGGAGAGCCCGGGGCCCCCAGACCTGAGAGTCCTTGATTCCAGGAGCTCTCTGTGGAAGGAAATCCTGTTTCTAACACCTGAGCACACTGGTCCATGCTGCCCTGTTCACGGACACGCACACGCATGCCCACTCTGTACAGTGGTGTGATCTTCTCAGCACAAGGACACAGTAGGTCTATATCAGAATTAGACTGTTGAGTTGAATAGGCCTTGGAGTGTGGTGGATACCAAAGGGTTACATCTGTTCGGGTCTTTGTAATCATGGCATACTTTCACATGCCCGAGCTCACTCAGCCCTCAGCACACTGCTGGGGGAGGGAGACACAGTATTGCCACCCTCGGATGGGGAAATCGAGAGTCAGGGAGATTGTGAGACTTGTCCGAGACCTCAGAACCCATAAATGGCAGGTCTTCTGACTCCGGCCAAGTACCCTTTCCACTATCCTCTTCTTCATTCTGGTTCCCAGGTTTACCAGACAGAGCTCCATCTGTCTCTGTCTGCAAGGGTAGTGTGGTTCAGAGGCTTTCCCTGACCCAAGGTTCAGAAAAGAGGCACGAGGGCAGGGGGAGGGGGCAGCTTTCTGGGTGCTCTGAGAGCAGATCAGGAGGGAGGTGGGGCCCTGAGTGTTTCCTGGCCACAAGTAACAGCCGGTAGATCTGCCTCCTGGGCCCCTTGGGGTAAACAGATGGCTTAAAATAGCTCAGAGGTGCGGCTGTGTCTGTGCAGAGACAGGATGAGGAGACGGCTTTCCTCTCCTTCACTGTCCAGATGCCCTGGAGTCAAAGGAGTCTCAAGCAGGTCTCCTGGCCTAGACTTCATAGGAAATGGTCTGTCCATACTGCTCCTTAAACTTGGGCCACAAACTAGCAGGAAAGCAGGTGGCTTTTCAGCAGTCTGAAGGGAGGGAAGAGTTCCAGGTAGGAATAAAGGGAGACATATATCCTGCTTGTCATGATTCACGTTTGAATAGGCACTCAGGACAGAGGCAGACCTAAGAACATTAACAAACAACACGGTGGACAGTGTTAAAGAAGGGTCTCACGCTGCAGTTGGTGTGCCCGAGCCAGGTCACGTTGGCAGAGTCCATTGTGCATCTCTCTTCCCTGCTCTCATTCTTGGAGTCTCCATAATGAGAGTGTTTACAGAAGTCAGCAAAGTTAGAAATCAGTGTGGGTTTTTTTTCTCTTTCTTTCAACTTGCTGGGTGCTAAACTAGCACCCCACTGAGAGGACCCTCTGAAAATGAGGAAGAGTAGAGAAGGGATGAGTTTCGGTAGTACCTAAGAGGGTGCTCTGAGGGATAAGATTTGAGACCCCTTTGGGGTCTCAAAGGACACCACCCATCAATACTAGGTTTAATTTCTTGAGTGTCAACAGCTGTTCAAACTCTGAGGGGCTGGATTACTCAACCCATATTTCAGATAAGGAAACAGAATCTTGGAAGGGTGAATAATTTGTCCAAAGCTAGTGGATGGAGCGGAGCATGAACCCCCAGGACTGTCTGACTCCATATCATCACACTGTGGCTAAAACAACATAAGGAGGAGTATTTTATAGTCAACCAATATTTACTGAATAGGAATCATTTCTTTACCGCCCATTTCCTCTAGTATTCCTCCTAGTATTTAACTTCCACAAGGATAGGAATTTTGCCTTTTAATTCCTTTGTCCCTATTACCAAGAATAGTACCTAGCTCCTAAGAGGTACTCAATAAATATATGTGAATAAAAGAATGAACTAATGATGAGCACCTATTGTGTGTTCAGCTCTCTGTCAGGTGTTGGGATAGGGAATTCATCACAGGGAGGACTTCACGAGGAAATTCAGGATGTAGGAAATTGTGTGTGTGTCTCTCTCTCTATATATACACACATATACATATATATGCACATATATATGTTCTGTGTGAGTGTGCATGTGTGTATACATACACACACAGATTTACTCACATCCCTTCCCCTCCACCAAGCAGATCATCATCCCAGTTTTTTCTAGATATTTGGAGTCTCAATTTCCTGCCTACAGAATTGCAATGTCCAGTAACCTAGGTCTAAGCAGATGAAGTGTGAGTGGTCTTGCTTGCATAAAGTATGAGGAAGTGGTGCTTAAAGTGGTGTTGTCTGAGACTGGGAGTAGGAATAATGCTATTGGTTTCGGTGCCTGAAGAAGTGACTGAGCCCAGGCAGAAAAACCTGTCATCCTCATCTCTGTCCTGTCCACCACTCCAGCATCCACACACACACCTCCCACTTTGGCGGTAAAATGTCTGCTGAGGTAGAGAGTGTAAATGAATGCGGTCCTTGTGCATATCATGCCATGCTACTAGAAAAAATGTGATTATTTAAGAAGTGTCACTATTTCCCTCCTTCTACCAGTGGGCATAATAGCATTGACTTCTTTTGTGATTCTGTAATATCACCAAAGAAGACCATGTTGGCTTAGCTCCCTGGGGAATTCTCAGGCCTCTACCAATGCTGTTCCCCTGCTTTCCCTGAAGGGCCTAGCTGTTTCAGTATGTAGGAATTCCCAAAGAACCTCTTTCCATCTTTATGCTCCTTCCAGAAGACCAAAAAGGAGAAGCCAGGCAAACTCAGTCCCTGAGGAAGCCCAATAGAGATGAGAGCCAAGACCTTCCCTGACTTTCCTTTGCCCCTTTGAAAGCACTGCCCTTCCTGAGGCAACTCTTTTGTCTTACTTTGCTGTCTCTGCTGGGGGATGGGGTAGACCATGTGGCTGCTGGCAAGAGGGGCTGGAAAACAGCATTTATAGAGGTGAAATTTTTTCCTCTCCCTTGGGTTTCACATCTCTCTGGGTCCTCCCAGAGGAGAGGAGGAGGAGGGAAATCATCAGAACTTAAGAGGGGCAGAGAAAAGCAGCAGCCTCAGACCATCCAGCCAACTTGCAATTGCACACTGGACCAAATTCATACTCTATGGGGCTGTACTTGGCCAAGTGGGAGCAATAGTTTTGGTGGTCCCAGAAGGAAACCTGAAGGACCACAGACAGCCGTTGCTGAAGCCCCCAAGCCAATTGCACACTATCGTGAATGTAGCACTAGGTCCTCAAACAACCACATTTCTTTCAATGACATTTCATTATAATTCTGATGAGATGCCATAGGAATTTAAGTTTTGTTTATATCAATTAGCCTATGGTAAAATTGGTTTCCTTATACATTGTATTGTTTAAAGCCACGGGACTTATCGAAAACATTAGTGAAGACTTTTGAGAATCCATCATAAAAGTGACTCTGGGTTAGACTTGGGGTGAGGTGGGATGGTCTGGCAGGTCTTGAAAGCAAAAAAAAGGGTTTGGGCAAGAAAGATAAGCTCTGTACTTCCTGGGAAGGAAAAAAAAAAACTCCAGGGAAATAAGGGATCATTTAGCAACCAGGAAAGTTCAGGAGTGGTCTGAGGTGGGGAGATTGGGGGAAGGGGAGATCAATTAGAGAGAGCTAATCTCAGCAGGGATTGAAAGAGAAGAGGGAAATCGTCAAGCATCCATTCTCCCAAAATGTTAAGTAAATAATAAACACATCCAAGCAGAGAGAGGGGGCTTAGAGAGCTAAGTATAGTACCTGATGGAATCCCTGGGGCTGGATCCTCAAACACATCCATCTCTGCAGTGGAAACTTAACTTGTCAGCAAGGGACATGGGAACTTGGGTAGAGAATTGGTGATGGGGGAAGGGAACACTGCAGGGAAATAGCTCTAGTTTACTCAGCTCTTTGGCACCTGCTGGTTACTACTAAGAAGCCAAGGCCCTGGGATACCAGGGACTCCCCTGCAACCCAGGGAGTTAGGTGACCTCTTTGACCTTTTCAGGGAAACAGACAGTAGGGAGAGAAGAAACAGCGAAGTTAATGGCTGCCATGGGGTATCTTCTGGGCAGCCACAAAGATTACATTTTTATTTTTATTTTTACAAGAGCTTATTTGAGCTAAAAGGATGACATATGCTGAGGAGCAAGATCTCAAATGCTCCCCGGAGATTACATTGTTAAAAAAGAGAACATTCGGCCTGTCCAGCTGGTACTCATCCCTTGCTCTCCTTCCAGCATTTTCTTTCCTTTTTAATCCTTATCAGAGGATATGGTGGAGCTGTTTGTTTGTTAATTCATTTTAGAAAGAAAGAAAGGGAAAGAGAGAAAGAAAAACATCAACATGAGAGAGAAACATCAGTTGGTTACCTCCCTTATGTGCTCCCAGCAGGGATTGAATCCACAACCTAGGCGTGTGGCCTGACCGGGAATCAACCTGCAACCTCTTGGTGTACAGGACAATGCTCCAACCAGCTGAGCCACCTGGCCAGGCCTCCTTCCAGCATTTTCCATCTCTCCTGTTAAAGCCTCCCTATTCTCCTTGGCCTTCAAACCTGCACATATCCTCCTACTTTAGAAAAACACATGCATATACATAAAGATAAAAAATGATCTTTAACTCTGATGCCCTCTCTAGTCCCTCTGCTCTTCCCTCCCCTTCTTACTACTGAACTTTTTAAAAAAAAAAAAATACTGGCCTTTTTCTTCTGCTTTCATTTTCTCATCATGCATCTTCTCCTGGAAGGCGCTGGACATATTCATCACCAAGTCTGGTTTCCTCAGACACCAACTGGGCTGTCTTCATTTCAGGCTTTCCCCAGCTTCACTGCCTGCCCAAAGCACTACAGTCCTCTTCCACGGATATGACTTTTATTACATGTTTTTTTTCCACTCAATAACCTGTAGTGATTCTCCATTGCCTCCTGAATCAAAGCTAAACTTTCAAGAGCCTTCATATATCCTTCACTCTACCTATTCATTTTTAGAAGTTTTCTATTGTTTTCAGCCATCTTATTTATATCATCTCTGTCCGGTTAGAATCCAGCTAGATTATAAGCATCTGGAGAGCAGAGGCCAAATCGTCCATGACTCTGAAATGATTCAATACTACATGCAAGCTCCATCACATTGAGATACCTTTAGGTAGTGTGGCCTCAAAGATAAAAAAATTCTTGGACACTTATGTGACCACCCTTCTTCCACATAAGGGAAACAATAGGCTTGAGCAACACCACTAGGAGAGCATGGCACTGCAAACTGTAGGCTATTCCAGGCCAAAGATGCAGCACAAATGAGTGACAAGGAGAAGAATGAAAGCATGAAATGTTCTATGAAATCTTTGTTTTGATCTGCCGTGAGAAATTTTACGTTTGCTACTTTGTAAAATTACTGTTTAAACACTGCTTTTCAAACCTGATCACAGATTAGAATCATCTGGAGAGCAACGCCCATGCCTGGGTCCCCACTAGATGTCCTGATTTAATTGGTTTCATGTGGGGCCCAGGCAATGTTTGTAGGGTCTTCTAGGTGATTCTAACGTAGAGCCAGGTTAAAGAGTCATTGATTTAGAAATGTAGGTGTGTGTTGTGCACTGGGAGCAATGGTGGAGTGCTTGGACACCCCTCCTGGTGGGGTGACCAGAATGCACGCCTCACCCCAAATTCTCTTTCCTACAAATAAACCCTTTGGGATCTTTTATGCCCTTCTGTCACTGATGTTGAGATCTTGGATAGCTACCTACTCCAGGCTGGCCCTAGAAACAACTCATCGTTGTCCCTTTGTCTCCTTGACACGCAGGGAGCGGCTGCCTGTCAACTACTTCAAGTTCCAGTTTCGGAATGTGGAGTACAGTTCTGGCCGGAACAAGACCTTTCTCTGCTATGTGATTGAAGTGCAAGACAAGGGAGGCCAAGTGCAGGCATCCCGGGGATACCTAGAGGACGAGCACGCCACTGCCCATGCAGAGGAGGCCTTCTTCAACACCGTTGTGCCAGCTTTCGACCCGGCCCTGCGATACAACATCACCTGGTATGTGTCCTCCAGCCCCTGCGCAGCTTGTGCTGACCGCATCATCAAAACCCTTAACAAGACCAAGAACCTGCGCCTGCTCATTCTGGTGGGGCGCCTCTTCATGTGGGAGGAGCCCGAAATCCAGGCTGCTCTGAAGAAGCTGAAGGAAGCTGGCTGCAAACTGCGCATCATGAAGCCCCAGGACTTCGAGTACATCTGGCAGAATTTTGTAGAGCAGGAAGAAGGTGAATCCAAGGCCTTTGAGCCCTGGGAGGACATTCAAGAGAACTTCCTGTACTACGAGGAAAAGTTGGCTGACATTCTGAAGTAGGCGATTGGGCACAGCCTCACGTGAGTCATGGCACCATTACTCCATTAATTGGGTAGTTTGAGGCCAGGTGGAACCAGTGGTGTTGGATTTTTCCTGGGGAAGGATTTCATTTTTCTGCTTTGGGCTGACTGTAAAAACATTTTAGAAGATCCTGTCTCCTTTTATTTCCTTGAAATTCCTCTCCCTAAATCCTTTAATACCTACTTTCATATCAAACTAACTTTCCCCATAACATGCAATACTTAAGGTTAACAGGAATCTAAAAGCCTTGATTCAATGGAACTTTCTGTAGTGAAAGATGTAGATGGTCTGAGTGCTGCTATTGAGCAACAGCCTCGAATATATTCCAATCCCCTACACACACACCCATGTCCATGTTTCCAGAATCACTAATTCCAGACACTTTGGTGATGCCTTGCTCCCACCCCTAATTGCGACCCTACCATTCCATTCTTCCTCTAAATCAGGTGTTTCATTCCTGGGGGTGGGCTTTTTTTATTTTTTTCACTTTTGATACCTTTGAAACTCTTCAGCTTTTTTTGGCCAGAGAAGGTTTCGTGTTTTCAAATAAATTATTCCTTTTTGAGGGAGACCAATAATTGCTGTGTGAATGTATAGTATAAAAACATTTTTCTTATGTTGAGAAGACCTCAGAACTCATAGAACATTGCTGAGTGTGGGGATGGGGATAATACAGCAACACGTTCTTCTATGCAGGAATGTTTAAAGAGTTAAAAAGATGTTTGTAAACTAGGGAACGGCTCAAAAGTAGCCTCCTGCAGATATCAAGATGGGATAGGAGAACTGGAAGTAAAAAATTAGCTATTTAAGCAAATAATTAGGGCACAATTAAGGCCAATTTGGCCTCTTGCTGAGGGTAAATTAGATTCTTACAGAAACAGGCCAATCACCCTCAGGAAAGAGGGTAAAGAATCTTTTACTACCTTTTTTTGAGTTTGGTCTAATCTACTTTGCTCCCCCAACAATGCTATGACGAAGTCCCTTCACTAGGCCTGAGTTGCTGTTCAAAGTCCTCCAGTAACAGATACAGGGTCTTCACCACCTTAATTCTGGAAAAACATATTACTAAAACACAAAAGTAGCATGCTTCTGTGAAGATTCAATTTATGTTTGGTGTCTCTCACTATTATTCTTAAGAAATGTCACTTCATAAACATGTTTTGAAAATATCAATGTTCTGGAGATTGATGTTGGCAGGTGTTTGCTATTAGACGTGCACTCGGGGGAGCCTGATAATTCTCTAGCTGAGCATTTGCCGGTCCATGAAGGCAGGATTCTCAGCCATGTCTTACAAATAGCAGGACCCACGCATTGACTTCAGTGAGACTATGGTCAGGTAATGTCTCGTGGTACTCTGCTCCTATAAAATAAAACGCCACTCTGAGTGGTGGTGAGTGGTAATAAAAATAGATTTCTCAAGGTGACCTCTAAAGATTCAAAATTAGCTTTTAAATTCCTTGAAGATTTTATTAGTGTCGGTACTATCACTGTAATTATAAGCTCTACATAGATTCTACAGAGTGATGACTGGTAGCTTAATTGTTACCCTAGTGTACTTGCTTCTTAAACATCTTTCAGAGTCATGGGCCACTTCTCCTAGCTGCCTAACTAGCAAGTCCTCAGGGATTTGGGTTGTTTTCGCTTTTCCCCCCATTAAATCAAATTAGATAGCTAAATCTGCTATAAAAATAAACATTTCGAGGAGAATTAAAAGAGCTTTTAATTTTGGATAATTGAGGGTTGTACCTTATGCTAATCTAAAAAGAAATAAAACAGATAAATTGGTTTGATAGAAAAGTCCATTTCTAAGTCAAATTATTCTTAATGAAATATCATTGGACATGTTCCACATTATAAACCTCTTTCCATTCATGTGCATAACTGTATTTTCTGGACCCATTATTAAAATACTTCCTGCACTCTATCTGAGTTGTTCATGTTACCAAAGGAAAAGGTTAAAATGTACCAAGTTTAAAAAAAAAAAAACTGGCATGAAAAAGAGATGTTATCTAAAAGCCCAAAAGAACAACTCTGTTTAATTAAAATACTCCCAAGAAATGGGCATTTGTTAAAGAAAGATTTCCTAATTCTTACTCCATCTCTTTAAAAACACAACAGATGAGGATTTAACCATGTATTCAACTCCAACAGTCAACGCAGATCTGTTCTGGGGCTTTCTCTGGGTGAACCATACCAAAACAGAAATGGAACAAATCCAACTCTGGGTAAACCAGTAGTCACGGACTATGGAAAAATTTAGGAACTTCTTGGAGAGGGCACACAGAAACCCTAATTCAATAAGAGAACTCTTCATTATTTGGAGTCAGCAGGGCTCTCAGTAACGTTTTCTGTTTTCTCATTAAGGCTTGCCTGCTGCCAGAAGACAGCAGTGACAGGTATGGCCACCTGGGACGTCTGACTTCCTAATACCACTTGGAGCTGGACACCATTCGACACCAACCAATCCTCCTGCCCAAGACCCTATGAGGATTCAAAATACACTTCTCATGCTGTAAATCATCTTAGCTGTGCATCTTTCTCTAAGGCTGCTCTCAGGGGAAAAAAAGTGAGTTGCAAGGAGAAACAGCAACCAAATATGGGCACCAGGTATCATGGGGCTGAGGATTCTAACCATTAGGCAAAATGGGCTGCCTAAGGCAGAACCTCAGACCCAAGATCTGTGCAGATCTTTGAAATATGTCCAGAAATTCACTTGTGTTTTTTCTAAAGAAAAATAAGCAGCAACAATAAAAGAAATGGTGTGGTTTTTCTGTGACCAGGATTTTTAAGGAACTTGGACATTTAGAAGTTAACTATGGACAGTGATCAAGTCCCAAGAATAGTGTTTCCCAAGCTATGAACCAAGCCATATATAACGGAGGGAGATTTAAACCAGGACTTGTCTAGGCAACACAGGATACTCTCTCATGCAGACTTCTCATCCTGGTCTTGACCTCCGTAAAACATTTCCTTCTGAGATTCCTTGAGTGCCTTTTGCCTTCTCTAAAGACAAAGTATATGATAGAGGGTAAAACAAAAGGCGTGGAAAATCTGTATATAAAATATCCATGTCCCAACAGCCAATTAATAAGCAATTAGCCTCTTGATTAACCAGAGGGGAGAAGCAGGAGCATTTCAATGCTCAGATACACAATTTAAGGGTAGGCTACACATGGTACTTGATGGCAGGCTAATGTAAAAGTCTTATTTCTTAAAAGGTTTCAGTCTTATAGAAGTAAAATTTCACATGTGAATTTCTGAGTGTTTGCCAAACTCTAACTAGGTTTCCAGGAATCACATGTTTATTCTGATTATCAAGGCAATGCCTTTCCCCAGGCTTTGAGTGTGATAAGTCATCGGAATTTGACCCCAAGACTCTCTGCAAATGACAAAGCATGTTATCACATCCCTGTTGAATTCCAGAATTCCACTTAGACCCAGTCCTCCACAACACTAAGCTTTGGTTCATACTCCATATAAAAATTCACCCTAATCCCTTTCAGTGTAGTAGCCTTCCATACCAATGTTTTACATAGTTAGTAAAAATACTTTAATTCTAAGTTTCCTCTCATCATTCACTCTCGTTTTCAGTTTTATGTATTCAGACATTCTTTTCCCCTTCAATTTTATTAATAATGCACAGAAGCAAAGCTTCAAGAAAAGCTTTAATCCGAAAGTTTAAAAATGAATTTGCTCCTGCACTACCCCAGCCCAGTAACATGAAGAACCTGTCTGTTCCACACAGAGGCACAAAACACATGAAATACTTTTTTAAACTGCTGCCTCATATCAGGCTGCAATGTGATAAGAACATAAGTCTAAAGTACAAAGGTTATATTTAACCACTGCTCTCCTAGTGTTTCAACAAGCCTATTCTAAAATCTAGTTCTTTCACACTTGGGAAAGCAAGTCCTATGAAGGCCCAGAATTCACTCAAGGGAGAAAAATCAGTATTAGGTCTGGCTGTTTTAACTTGTAACACTGAAGTAAGGGGGTTAGGGGTGGGGGAGAAAAAGACCACTACTTTTCCCAATACCTTTGCTACTGAACCACTGGATAAATCCATGAACCTGTTTCTCTCACTGCAAAAACACAAGCAAAGTGTTGCTCTCTTAGCTGGTTACACTTCAGTATACCCCCAGAGCTTAAAAACACAAAGAAACCTACTCATCTTCCCTAATCCCCCAACTATCAAAATAAAATTGGGGGGGGGGGGGGTGGGTCTTTTTTTTTTTTTTAAAGAAGATGCATATGGATTTCGTTGAGAAATGAGTCATCTCTGCACTAAGCACTTTGCAAGGCATTAACGCGTATTATTTGTTTCATGATTAAATTCAGACAGGTTCAATCACAGACACTACGTAGTGGACAGAAGAGTTTACCATGAGGATATTCTAAAAACCTGCCTTTTCAGTATGTTGACCCATCGATGCTGTCCATTCTTCTCACCTGGCCGCTCTTCCCTCTGCACCCCCCTCTCCGACTTTTCCAAATTAAGTTATAGGTGAATTCTCCATTATCCAAGTCCAGAACAAGTCAGACATGTGCACAGAACCTCATTGTAACCCAAGAAAAAATATTTATTTTCCAATTTTTGGGGGTCTCTACAAATTCCTTAACAATGTTGAAGCAGTCTGCTTTTGTAATTTAAACAAACAAAAAAACCCCTCAAAATTCTCTCCTAGGATAAATCTGATGACATAAAGATAACACTAAGTAAATGCACAAATGCCAAAAGATGCAAAATTAACTGAAATGTTCATCCTTCCTGAAATTTCTCTGAAAACAGTAGAGTAGAATCAATGCTGCCACCTAGTGACAAGCCAAACAAATCAGGTAGCATCCTGGAACAAAAAGGGGTCCTCTGGCCGAACATCTTGTTCCCCAACTCTTATCAGGCTATTTATTACCTACCTTCCTAAAAAGAAAAAAAAAGAAAAGAGAAAAATCACAGCAACATTTCCCAAGCAATCTCTCCTCCAGAGTACCAGTCCAATCATGGAAATATGGAAACTTTAACCATGGCCTGTGACACAGACAACTTGACATGAAACTTTCCTCTGACAATTTTTAAGGTCATTTTGCCCAGTCGTATAGCCCAGTAGGGATGATACAGGAAAACGCAGACACATCCAAAATGCTCATCTGTTCAGAGTGTATACACAGTGACTCTGATGTCTGTTTCGTCAAACACCTCTTCAATTATTGCAGATACATTTTCCCATTTCAGACGATCAAGACCACACCCAATCCTGAAAAAGACAAAACATCTCCATTGGTTGTGATAAAGGTATCTAGGAAATCACTCTTTCCCTCTTTAGACTGCATTCACCCAAAGCATAAGAACACATTATCTGATTTCATGCTTATTGGCAACCATGGTGGGAATTTGGAAGTTAATTCCTGTTGAGTCACCCAAGACTGTTCCTCAACAGCCCTAACATTCCAAAGCTGTCACTTCTTTTTTGCCTACTGGTTACCACTTCCCAATTATTTCAAGCAACATTTATAAATGTATAACTGCATGACATGGGAGACTTACTATCTTTCTATGTCTACTTGTGAAAACTAGCTGTGGATAGGTAGGAAAAGGATGGCGTTTAAAAAACACACTTATAATGGAAAGTTATGGAAGATAAGACAGTCAAGGAGCAGAAACTGTGAAAAAAGGCAATCAAGATGGAATGCTGAGAAATGCCAAGATGAGTGCAATTCAGGTCTTTGCAATACTCTGGTAAAAAACCTTTCTCGACCCATAAAACTCTACTACCTAGCACCTTTCTTCTAAGATATTACTTTACTGATCCTCAACATCCCTAGGGGGAAAAGAGAGGCTTAAAACTGCTAACTGCATATACTGTGGTAAGTCCCTGAAAAAAACTATAATCAAAAAAAGTTTCTGCTACATAATCCGTAAGTACATAAAGGACCAATGTAAGATGAGAGACCCTGTAGCCACATAAGTAACTTGGAGCTTGGAATAAACCTGAACATACGGTCAGCACTAACTCAAAACTAGGCAGACAGGGAAAGGTAAGCCCAAGCCTATTTCCTAAGACACAGCAAAAGGGATGTTGAAACCCCATCATTCTTTAAGTTTCCAACAGATAGAACCTAAGACATTACATCAGGGACATATCCTCTAGCTACTGCCCAAGGTGACCACCAACAAGCATGAAGTTTAAAAGGTAGTCATCATTGACAACTTTCTTTGCACAAAATTAACAGGTTTGGGATACCTGAAGTGGCCCAAAGGGAAATCACACTTGCTTGGTCTTGGTTCTTAAGTTTACATTGCTTCAGAAAACATGGCTAAGCTTCAAGGAGAGGATTGGAAATTTAACAAATGTGATTAACAACTGTTCCCCTCTACTACAAAGGTTGAGGCAGGTGTGTATTTTAAGTTACTTATCCTTATTCATTCAACCCAGGCTAAGACCCAGGGTATGCCCTGGCCTAAGATCTGACAACTGGTTCACTGGTGATTTTTAAAATTTTTTAATTTATTGATTTTTAGAGAACAAGGGCAGGGAGAGAGAGGGAAAGAGGGAGGGAGGGAAAGAAACATCATTTTCTCGTTCCACTTATTTATGCATTCATTAGTGATTCTTTCATGGGCCCTGACCAGGAATCGAACCTGCAACCTTGGCATATTGAGACACTGCTCTAACCAAATGAGCTACCCAACCAGGACTCACTGGTGATTTTTTTAAGTTCTGTAATTTGTTTACCTTTCAGTCCGTATTTTAGATTAAGCTTTTAAGTCATTTGTCTTTGGGTAAGACAATAAGCCCCACCAACCAATTAAATCTTCATTTAGGGCCCTGTCATTTCCTTGCCTGGGCATGGACAGATCCGTGACTCCATTCTTCAGACAGTGGGACTTCATGGCCTCTAAACTCTTCTGTAAGTTTTCATAAGTTGGCTTGTGTGAAGCCCTTTTCTTTGTAATCTGAGTACAAAGAAAAAAATTCAAACTCTATTAGTCCAAAATGACAGCCAAAGAAGTCATCACATTGTCCTAACATCCTAAGTAAAACAAGTGTATTTTTACAGAATAGTCTACAGCAGTGATGACAAATGTCATAATGTTCCTTCCAGTTATGGGAGGCTCTCAGGAATATCAACTAAATAGGGTCTGAGAAACCCAGATACTACCATGTATATAATCCTTCCTTTTCTCAAGACCAAGAGGCTTATGAACTGTGCCTATTGTGTATTATTTCTAAGCAAAGTAGGTGAAAGTCTTTATGCCTCTTCCAAGAGATAAGCTACTGCATATTTGTAATAAGGAAGAACCCAAACCACCTGAAAATTTCCTGTTAAGCTTATTTATTTAAGAATTATGCTTGCTTGCTTTTTGTTTCTCTATAAAAGCAGAGATACACTGGTAGCATTCCAAGTAATACTGGAAGTCACATCAGCCTTAAAGACCGCATTCAAATGACCCCACTTAGTCTGCCGTCCAAATCCTTGTAGTGGGTTGTAAGTCACCAGGACCATCGCCAATAAGCCACACCCTTTCCAGAGCCAAAGACCGTTTGGACAGTGGAAGAATCCCACACTGAGGAAGTAGGCAAGAAAGCAATGGAGTACATTTGATAAGGAAGAATGAGGAAAAACTCCTTTGGGCATTCTGTCTCTTGACACATTATTGTTTTTCTATCTTACTATGTCAAGGAAGGAATTAAAGGATGAAAGACATCCCTAACTTTTGCAAGTCTTTGAACAAAGGCCTTTAGTAGACATCACAGCACTCTTTCCCGTGGAGCTAGGATGCAATTTCCTTTCTAACCCAGAGGTCCAAAGAGCCAACAACACTGGACCTGAGTTGGTATGAGATCAGAAGCTTTTCAACATCTTTGGTTGTCTAGAATGGAATATCATAATCATCACAAATTCAGCACAGCCTATCTGTTCACCAATCCTTAAAACTTATTGAGAATTGGCCCCATCTTACCAAGTAATATATATATCGCCCATCTCTTTCCAGAACAGCCACTTCTCCAGATTTCTTTTCTAAGAAAAAGTTATTTAATAGTAGAAAGAAAAAAGAAAATCAAAACACTTATCTCCATTCTTAGATTTTAAAAAATCTTTAGATGTTTACTTCAGAACATTTTCAACTCTAAAGAAATCTATTGTCTCCTATGAACACTTTGCTCTTCATCTGCCTTCCTAAATACTGTATTCCTTAGCTTCCCACTTTATCATTTTCTCAACCATGTTTTACTCACATTTTTTCTTTGCCAGTTGTGTTCATTCAACAATAACCTTTGTAGATACAAAGAGCTAATGTTTAAGCATAATTATGGGGGACTTAGGTATAGAGAAAGGTTCCTAATCATAAGAGTTTCCAATCATGAGAAGGTGTTATGTTCACATATAACTACAGTACCAAATAGAAATTGTTTTTTAAAAGCTGGAATCAAAATCACCAGTGGAGATCCTGATTCAGCCTGGACTGTGGTCTCAGCAACTGTTCCAGAAGCTCCACGAGATTCTGATACACACCTCTGGTTTAAAATCATTGGTAGAAAGTGATGAAAGAGAGTAACAAAGGATTCTGAACTCCTATATACAATACGGGTGATCAAAGGATCTTAAATACGAAGCTAATACCTGTGGATTTGCAAAGCACTTCAGTTATTAAGGTTTTCTGAGAAGTGGACAATTACCAATAGGCTTTATGGGTATAGAAAGAAATGAGAAGCATTTAGAAGTCAAGCTTAGTGTGATAAGGACCCAAACTAGAGGCTATTTTTGTGGGGAAAAAAATCTGAATTAAAAGTACTGTGCTTAAGAACACCTTCTTTACATGTATCTCTTGTTTAATAATTAAAGTATAACAGGAGGCCAAAAGATGCTCTAGCTAAGGCATAAAAGTTAAGCTGTTTTCAGAACTCACGTTGATTTACCAGTTCCTGCACCCCTCCAAATTTCTTCTTAAAGAGTACAGCTATCCCAGCACCCATTCGACAATCCTCACTGATACAGTGGGCCAAAGAGTCTGTTTTGGGGCATGCAAAAAGGTCTCCTTTTACATAAGTGATCTAAAATGTGCAAAGGAAAGAAATGTTTTATTAGATACAGAAAAACACTAAACTATTTCTTTGTTTTCCTTTCCAGTCTGCTGCCCCTCCCCCACCTTCTTGATTTAAAGCCAAACCGTCAGAATTTAACGAGTTAACCACTACGAATTAAAGCATGTGTAAAAGGAAAGTGATGGCTGGTCTCTGCCTAGGTTGTATTATAAAACAGCTGAAGAAAAGAAAGACAATTCAATTACTGGTTTAATTAAAAAGTGTTTATACGTTTAACCTCAATTACTCTCATTTCAGTTCACCATAAGTTAATAGTTATTACGCACTCTGCTTCCTTCTGCATCTTCACTAGGGCTGCCGGCCATGATATCGAGTTGCTACCTCCAAAACTGAAATGTTTCCTCAGCTAGGAGAAGGGAAAAGGAAGGAGAAATGCTTAGGCAGCCTAAATACATTACATTCTGCTCAACCTGACCACCCACTTTATTTTTCCTCCCAACGTTTATCAATAAATGTGAGTTCGTCCAGCCTGTAAGCAATAATGCAAAACTCTTCTGAGGCAAAAAGAAAAAAGCCTTAGGTTCAAAAAGGACCGTGCCCCGCTCGTATTTCGCGCTGTTCCGGAGCGCTAGCTCCACCGGCAAGTAAAGACGGCCCTAAAACACGCCTTCTCCTTTCTCCGAGCCCGGCGGGTTTAGTACAGTTCTTAAACTCGGTGGGTTTGGCCTAGAAAATAAAAGTAGGAACTTGAGACCGCAACTAGGGAGTGTGCTGACCGACGCATGGAGGTGGACCCTCAAGAAAAGCTTACTCCCCTCTTTTTGCAGGGAGGGGAGTGGGTAACGGAAGAATCTATAGAAGCCTCCCACTGTCTCCTACCCTGGGGCGGGTCAGCGAGGGTGAAGAACCTGTCCCGCCGTCCCGCGGGAAAGATCGCTCAAAGCCCCACTGTACCGGGGTTACCCTTCACCTGAAGAAGGCCGTTAACAAAACCCACCCCGCGGGGAAGACCTCCAAATCCCGCCCTGCTAGGTGGAGAGCATCCGACAAGACCAGAGGCGGAGCCAATCCCGCCATAGCCTTTAAAAACACGCACCTAACATGGCCGCCCACCACTCCCAGGCGAAAAGGAAATAAGCCTCTCTAGCTAGCTAGCGGAACTTGCACTCTTTGGTGACGGCCGCCGAACTTCCGGCGGTAAACACCGTGGAGTCTCCCGCCGCTACCCGGGCTTGCGTAACGAGATAGCCAACCACGAGCAAGGAGGGACGGCGCCTGCGCATTAGCCCGGGGTGTGCTTCCAGTAGCCGCATAGAAGTGGGTGGGAAGTTGGCAAAAAAAGCTAGCTGGCGCCTGCGTAGTAATATGATCAGGGAGGTATTCGAGCCCAAGCGTCTGACGCGTCAAGAAGACGCCTGCGTATTCCTTCTGTCGGGAATGCTAGCTAATCAAGGCAGTGGGCGTGGTTTCATGGACGCCTGCGCAATGCTCTTCCAATCGGAGTGGGGCAAACCCAGAGCGGGGGGCGTGGCTGGTGGTTAGGGGGCGTGGTCACAGAGACGCCTGCGCGGAGGCGGTTGGAGGGAGGCCCGATTCCCCTTTGTTCAGGTTCGCCATTTTGCCAGGCAGCGGTAGTGGCGGCGGCGGCGGCGGCTGGAGCCTCTGATTGGGTTTCGGAGTCCGGTACTGGAGCCAATCAGCGCGGGCAGCGAACCGGGGGAGCGAGGCACGGTGAGTGTGAGGAGCCAATATCCAGCGGCCCAGAGCCGGCCCCAGCGCCCCGATTGGCGGGTCTCGCTGACCACTCAGGAGAGGCCCAGATGCCCGTCGAGCCCGGGGAGTCGAGCTGAGCCTAGCCGAGTGGGGTGGCAGGCAACCCCGGCCGAGGGCCTGCGAGCTCTGCGGGGCACTCCCGGCCAAGGCCTGTAGGGGGCTGCCCCGCGCAGGAATGGCGCCCCCAGGGGCAGGCACCTTGGGGTCCAGATTCCTACAGGGTGCCAGTGCAAGGTGGGGATGTGTCCCGGTTCCCCCGACTCTTAGACCAAGGTTCTCAGGCTTCAGGCTCGGGAATGATTGGGATGCCTGCCTGCCACGAATACCCCTACACTCAGGTACACACACGCGCCCCCCTCCGTAGTTTCCTCTTGGTCTTTCCAGCCTCGTATTTAAGCCCAAAAGTCTGCCCTTGCACTCTCCATGGACCGACCCTCGGACGGGAAACCTTCCCACTGGGGCCCCCCCGCCGGCGTCCCCCGGCCCTCCGTGAGCCGTGTTGGTCTGTCTGTCCCCAGCCCTCCTGGGTCTGCAGGGAGGCCTGGAAAAGATGGGTTCCTGCGACCGCAAGGCCTCAAGTGCAGTGAGGAGAAGGAGATGGCCTGTCCCCACCTCGGCGCTCTGCTTGGCCGTCCCTGCCGTCTTCCCGGAGGGGGAACTGGGAGTGAGCCAGTGGGCCCACTCCCCCTTGCTCCTCCGGGGCCCCTCCTTACATCAGGCTCAGCCCGGGTTCCCGGGTCGGCGCCGTTACCACCCACTTTTGGCTCGTCATTTCCTCTCCTCCCCGCCCAGCTTGCTAGGCAGAACCACACACCTCAGTCTTGGAGTCTTAAGCAAGCGGTCTCCCCTTTCTTGCCCGGGCGCTAAGGCCAGTCCACTCGTGCCTGGAACCTGCAAGGTTTTGGCGATCCTTTACCTGGAGGCTGCACGACTTGCTTTTTCATGTTGTTAGTTCTGTCCGTTGCTCATCTTGTGAATTCTTCCTCCCTTGAGAATGTACAGTTCGTTTTTCTTTCACCTTTCTGTGTTAACTTTGAACGTGTCAAGCTTGATTCATTGGCTCATTTCTCAACTATTGGTTTATATTTTTCTAGTACACTTTCGAATTCCATATTAACTTTTTTATTGTGGGGTTTTCCTTAGGGTGAGAAGAAATGTGTTGACAACCAGGTATAAAGCAGTTAACATGTACCAGGCCTCCCCATCTATGTGATGGGGAGGGAGTGGGTAGATGTAAATAAGAACCTTCCCTGCCTGGGGGAGATTGACATGTGAACAACTAATCAATACCTAATGGATAGTGCTATAATAGGGCCCAGTTCAGTTTTGTGAAGTATGGTATTGATACATGAGTTACCTCCGGTGGGAGACTTAATACAGCCACACTTGTGATTGACCTCAGGATGATAGGATTTCCTTTTAACAGGAAAGAACATTGCTTAGAGAGAACTTGGAAAGAGGCACCAGATTTTGCTGTGTCCCTGACGAGGAAGATAGAATAAAGGCAGTGGACAGTAGGGGTAAAGAGTTTAGGCTGGACAGCCCAGTTGATAAATCACTTGTACATCTTAAAGAATATTTTGTAAGATTGAAGAAACAAGTTTCTGACTGGTGGGGTTTTGTCCCAAAACAGTGGATTTTTGTGGTGGGAGAAAGGGAGATATCCCTAGGACTTGAATTTTTTTATTATCAAGCTCTTTGGAGCATGCCCTCGCCTTTCTTCCCTCTCAAATGTGCATCTTTACTTTTCTCTCCTAAACTCTAAGGGTCCCTGGGAGACTTGAAACACACAGCCTCTCATCCCACACTTACCCCCTGAATCTGTCTCCAAAGCCCCTTTTTGTCTGACTTTGCAGTGAGCTAACAGCAGCCCAACGTGGCTTGCTTCTTTCCTATAATATTGCTAGGGAGCCAAAGCAGAGCACCACCCAGGCTCTCTCCTGTTGCTTCTTCTACCCCAAGCCTGCCCTTTGTCCTTCACTGTCCCAAACTTTAACAAACATACTCTCAAAATAAAAAATAATAACAAAAAATAAAGTTTTTACTTATGTGAGGCACCAAGTGCAGTCCCTACTGTATAGAGTGGGTCTTTAGTGTATATGGTGCCTGTGTTTCTAATCATATTTACTAAGGTCACACAACTGGTAGGTTTCAGTGAACTCCTAATCCAGTGTTCTTTAATTCTTATCCACATTTATAGACGCGGCAAACACTTTTGCTAGACTTTCTAAAAGACAGTTATAGTCTGGCTATGTTTTTGCCAAACACCTAGAGCGCCTGCCTGTCTGCAGAAGAACTTTGCTTTGAATTTTGAGACAGGAGTCTAGCCTCTTACCTTTCACTTGACATGTGGGGTCTTTTAGTCTGCTGTTCATATGCTGAAATGTTTGTGCCTTATTTTTTTATCTTTATTGATTTTTAAAGAAAGAAACCATCAGTTTGTTGTCCCACTTATTTATGCATTCACTGGTTGATTCTTGTGTGTACCCTGACAGGGGGGTCCAACCCACCACACTAATGTATCAGGATGACATGCTGACCAACTGAGCTACCCAGCCAGGGCCTGTGTCCTTGTATCTATGCTGATTCTTCATTGGGAGTACTCCACCGGCTCACTCATCATCACATACAAATCTTTCTTGCCACCTTTTCCTACAGTCTTCCTTGATTTATCTTTCCCTAGCTGGAAGAAATCTCTGTTCTCCAGATTTCCTTATTACTTTGTTTTTCATAAGTTCCAGTACAGATTTTTACTCCTTTACTAAACTCAGAGACTCTGAAGTTAGGATCTTTGTCAGAGTTTTCTTTCTATTTCTAAAACCTTTAGGACAATGTCTGAGACATGCTACATCATTAGTGGAGAAAAGAAGCAAATTAGGAACTCGAATCCAGAAACCCCTTGGACACTGAGGAAGCTGGAGAGCTCCATAGTCTTTTATCAAAGACCAGGACCCATTTGTTAAGTTGTAGAGTCAACTTAGTGGGCCAGTGATGGTGATCTTTTTGTAATAAGTTGGAAAATGTCAAAGTATATATCTTATAAAAGATAAGTATTCATGAAACTTTTGTTTCAGTTACTTTTTTGATGTGTATAGTGATATAATAAAATGTGTTTCTTACTATGAATTGTGGTCAAAAAAGTTCAAAGGCCACTATTCTAAGCTTTACCTGGTAGTGATTATCAAATGTGATTGTGAGGGCTTGTCATGTGCTTATAGTTGACTTTCTGGAAGTTTTAGCTCTAAAATGTATGTGAATCCATATAAAATGGATTCATAGTAATTAGCTACATTTCAGGACCTATGCCTTGAAGTGGAAAGAAGTGAATTTTTCTGCTAGCCAGAATAAACACACACTGTGAGGGGGGGAAAGTTCAAAACTTTTGAGTTAGAAGCAAGAACTAGACAGAGTAAATCAGGATGACTTAATTTTGTCAGAATCTTGGGCAGAGAAGCACTTGAGGAAAGACAGTGTCAGGTTTTATTGCAGTTGTGCTAACTGAAGCTCACTGTAGTAGGAACATAGGGCTTCACTGAAGCCAGTTGTTACAGCACTCACCATTAGCAATATCGCATTCCAGACGGAATCACTTTCACATTAATGTGAGAGAGAACTGCTGTTAGATTTGAAGTTGCCTTCTTTTTTTTTACCCTGCAAAGTATAGCGGGTTTAAATGTTTTTCATTTGGAGCATTTGTGTTATGGTATAAATTAGTTAAAATCTGAATGACCTATATATTGGTAATCCCTATGCTGTTTGAGTAAGATACAAATTTCAGGAAATTAATGGTCAAGGAAAGAACCTCATACAGTAAGGGGGTTTGGGGTGGAGGAGGTATTGAAATATAGAAGACATTCCTTCATGATCCTGATTTCCAAATCATTGAGGATTATTGAGATATAATTTAGATACAGAGGGTAATTATTTTAAGTTTACATTTTGATGAACTTTGACAAATTTATACACCTATGGAATCACCACAGTGAAGATCCAAAACATTTCCATCACTCCAGAAAAATCCAGGGTCTCTATCCCAGTCAATCTCCCACTTCCCCTCCCCTCACCACACCCCCTACACCCCCTCCAGTCCCAGGGAACAGTGATCTACTTTCTGTCTCCAGATTACTATTGTCCTTTCAGAGTTTTATATAAATGAAATCATACGTACTCTTTTATAATGTGACCCTTAGTTCTTTAAATGTACATATGTATCATGTGTACCGCAGTTAGAGACAAGATATAATTTAGGGGAGACTTTTTACTTCCCTGGCAGTCACTTAGTCTAGTTGAAAACCTGATTATCCATACTGTTCCCACTATCTCCTAGAGCTGATTCAGTCAACCAATTCAGAAGAGGCTGACATAAAGATCAGAGTGTCACTTCGTCAGTGTGTAATGAGAAAGTAACTATTGGATTTACTTGTGTTCTTGATCATGTATGCTGCTTATTGGCTCACCTATATGTAAATCCAAATGAAAACTAGACATTTGTTTGGTATGTTCATTAGAGCAAAGGTAGTGAGTTAGAGGATCGTATGACCAGATGCACAATGCTGTGATGACATAGTCATCCTGTCATTCATTTATGACTTATACATCACATACCGTTTTATTTGTAAATGATAAGCTTAATTAATTTTTGTTCAATTTTTTCTTCCAACATTTTAGTTTTAAATTTTTCCAAACCTACAGTAAAGTTAAAATAATTTCACAATATCAGTGTACCCTCCTCCCAGAGTCTACCATTAACATGGTACAATAACATACCTGCCTTTTCAGATATCTGTTCATTCTTAACACCCATTCATTCGTCAGTCTATCTTATTTTTTAAATGTATTTTCAAGTAAATTTTCGACATCAGTACACTTCCTCCTAAATATTTGGACATGCACTTGAATATATTTTGCCTTCTTTCACACAATATCAAGACACCTGGTGAGTAAGTAACCTCATTCACCATGTGTATATTTATGGAGAGGGGTGCCATACTTTGCTGCTATAATGTGCAACTTAGTTAGCTCACATAATTTTTATCATTCAAGTTTTAGAGAAAAATTGAGGAAAAATATTTATCTACATTTTGTTTATATACCTGTGCCTCCCCCATATTTCCAAGGTGACTACCTTTACATTTTTTAATCAAGTCATTATTCAAGGTTCTCAAATATCACTTCAATTTACCCAATTGTGTCCTTATTTCAAAAAGGAGTATTCAATTGTTAAAGTATATAAGAATGGTAAATTTGGACATTGACTAGCTATTTGATATTAATTTAATAAGTCCTTAATATTATTGGTGATATTATAGAGACACAATATCATTATGGTGGAATGATAAAGACAAAAGAGTCTTTACTCTTTAGAGATGGATGCTAAAGTATTTGTGGACTTGGCAGGGATAATATGGTGCCTGGGATTTGCTTCAAAGAAATCCAGGGGTGGGTGGAAAGTGGTTGGGATCTGTGGGTTGAGAATCATTGAAGATGGATGATGGCTCTGGAGGTTCATTATAATGATCATTACTTTTGTATATATTTGAAAATTGCTATAATAAAAAGTTAAAATTATACAGTAAAGGGTGGTATATTATTAAGCATTCAAATTCAGGACTGGGGAAAACTAGCTCTTTTTAGAGAAAATTGTAGCCATTTAAAATGTTTTCCTTCTGTAAATAATCATTATTGCCATTAATATTTGGAAATTCCTTTTTATTTCTAGCTCTGGAATAAAATGCAGACCCTAAATCTATGCTAGGGCTTTCTTTCTTAGCTCCACTTAATGGAGGTTTGGTAAACAAAATAAACATTTGGCTTCAGATTGGGCAATTTGCTTACTAAATAATAAACCCTAGAGTTTTAAATTGCTTACTATAGTAGGGAGCTAAAGTAACATGTGGCAGGCAACAAATATGTGTTATAAATTAAACTGTTTGTTCTCTAAAGACATGTGCAGACTTAAAAATCTGCTAAGTGAACCTTGCAACAAAGTGACATCACAACATAATATTTCTAAGGTGCAAGTGTTGCTCTTTTAGTATCGAAAGGTTAGGTTGCCAATGGAGTGACTAAAAGCATTTTTAAAACATGGGAAATAGCAAAGTACAATGATCAGTTATCAAGGTTAATCATCTGGCAAGGCCTTTATTGACAAATCCCACTCTTGTTATTTTCTCAACATTTCGAATAGGAGTGCATCTCACAGTCTTCTATACTCTCCAGAGTGAAACTCACTGTGTGCCGAATTTCAACTTGGAGGGACCATGGAGCAGTATACAACGAACAGCAATAGTTCAACAGAGCAGATTGTTGTACAGGCTGGACAGATTCAGCAGCAGGTATGAAAGTAAGATCGCTGTAAACATCACAGCAGTGGAGCTGATAACAGCACTACTCAGTTGGGATATTATTTGAGAGGTACCAGATCTTATAAATGATGGGTCTGATGACTTGTGCTGAAGTGCTTTTTGAAGATTGAATTTGTTGTGATTTCTCTCCTGTTTTCTGTGTTCAGAACTTTGTATCCAGTTCATGACTACTGAGAATTTGCTCTTCATGGGAGCCTGGTTTAATAGTAAATTGCCCCTTTGATCTTTTTAAAAGTCAAAACACCTAGTCTGTTTTCAGACGGAAATTTGGAGTTTGGGGTTTTTTCTGGATTCAGTTTGGTTGTTCTTCTTGATCATGCTAGTGTGTGATCTAGTAAGGCTTTGGCCACAATATACAAACCAAGATAGTCAGCTTCTAAGAAATTCACTGCTCTTTGATTTGATGCACCACAGTACTTACTCTGAAAAGTTCTAGTTTACCATAAGGATGATATTTAGACAGCCACTCTTCTGGATAAGCACATAGTAGAAACGAATTCCCTGGTGCTGGTTTACTACTATTAAATGGGCTGCTTTTTAAAATTTATACAGCGCTTACATTTTCTGATGCTTATATCTGATTTTAGTGAAACTTCACTTGTTTTTCTCCCTATAATAAAAGAAATTATTAGGCATCAATTTAATCTTAGGCCAAGATTGGGAATATTTTGTTTCTAAAATGGAGTTAAAATAATACGGAAAAGTAGTTAGCAGGAAGGTCACAAGAAGTTTTAATGGTGAGTTGTCTTGTCTAATGATCAAGGAAAGGAGCTACTCTTGATAAAGAGATTAATTAAACAAACTCCTTTGCTCGACTTCCTTTTGTATACCCGCTGTGGCTCTGGCAGCTTCCTTCAACTACTCTCTTTGTAATAGGGATTCCACAAAGGGCCCTCCATTCACACCAATGCCCTGGTGGGTGAGTTTTTTTCCTGTTATAAAAATTAGGTTGAAAATTGCTTCTAAGGTAGTCCAACTAAGTATAAGTAATCTTAGTTTTGGGATATGGAAGCAGCAACCTCATGAAAATGATGTTGGTTCACAGTGATTGCTTTGTTCTTCCTTTCTGGTGATTGCATTTGAGCCCCAGAAATTCTTTATTGTAGCTTCAAAGCTGTTAAAACCTTTGTTCTTGTGAACTCATTTGAGGAAATAAAAAGAGCATTAAAATAACTTTGTAGGCAAAAGGACCAAATGCCTATCTCCAGAGGGAGGGTCTGCATTAAAAAATTTGTGTTAATGATGACAAATGTTTTTGAGGTTTTTGAGTTGTGGAAGTATGTTTCGAATTCCACTCTGGGGACAGATATCTTTATTTAATATCTTTAATCCTGCTACCTTCTACAAAACAGCTCCAGGTAGGGAGTCTATATAATTTGAAAGTCCTGTGTAGGGTGGGGCTGTTGAAACAAACTCCCTCTACTTTATGAGGTAAGGCAATCTCCTGTCTTGAACTATACATTTCCTTCCTGACACATTTCAAGCTCTTCCTGTTCCTGTTCTCAGCAGCAGGGTGGTGTCACTGCTGTCCAGTTGCAGACTGAGGCCCAGGTGGCATCCGCCTCAGGCCAGCAAGTCCAGACCCTCCAGGTAGTGGTGCCCTCTCTGACTCTCTGTAAGCACTGCATGAACTTTTCCTTTCCTCATGTCTGGTGCTGTTTGTGGTAGGATCTCAGGGAGGAATGGCAAAGTCAGCTGCATGTTTTTGATGCTAACTTGTCTTTGAGGCTTATAACATGCCAGTTTTCTAATGTTTCATGCCAAGTCATATAGTGCTTCTAGTATGAATTTTCTGGAAATGGCATTTGGCTGGTGTGTTTCTTTGGGAATGCCTTGGAAAGAATTGTTACAAGTGATGTTAGAATTTATTTAGAGCTCAAACTATATCAAATTGCGTGGTGAAATTTCATGAATTATAATAGTAGAGAAGAAAATATATGCATATTAGCTAAGCTAAATTTTGCTTCGTTTCGGTAAAAGGACAAGTCAGCTACAAAATAATCATTGTACTTTGCAAGTTTTATCTAACGACTAAATCCTGTTACTCTCCTAACCGCTGCCTTTTACTGTTTCCTGGGGAGATGACCTGTCTTTATTAGATCTGCAAAGATTATACTGTCCCTCCAGGTTGGACACAAGTGGGGTCTGCTTTCCATAGGTCTTAGGTGTTAGAGCCACTGTTAAGAATTCTTACTTAAACAAGGCAGTCCCCTAACATGATGTTGTCCAAGTTAAATATCTTAAACTGGACTGATATTTTGACCAGCTTCTACATAAAATGAAGGGTAGAAGCATTAGTCTCTTCTGTGTCTCCAGGTTACTTTTACTGAAATTACCATATTTTTGAGAAACTGTCAAGATTTGAGTGCTTTATATATTTTTTTTCATTTAATGGAAATATTTCAAAGTTGGACGTAGAATGTAAAAGCAGCATCTCACTTGATTACTAGTTGCTAAACATTCTGTAGTTAACTACCCCTTATTGTAATTATTTTACTTTTATCTTTTGGGCCCACCCTCACATCTGCCACCCATGCTGTGTACTGATGATATACAGCCAATTCTGAACATAAAATTAGCTGAAAGAACTTGAACTTGTAAGTTTTCCCTACCTATATTTGTATCTCAGAGTACAGCAGCTTGTAATTCATGTTTTTCATGCTTGTTTCACCTTATCGATATGTAAAATATTGTCATTAACCACTTGTGGAATGGGAATGTAACATGCTTTTAACTGTATGGCTTTTTGTTTGATGCATGTGTCTTTGTAATTACTTATGTGTTGTAAATACAGTGGCTCCTTGGAGTCCCAAATGGTTTATTATGTGCACTTACAGCATGTCAACAAGGGGAGAAGCTGTGAAGAATAGCCAGAAAAATATTAGTAGTTGTAGCCTAAAACTTGTATTCCTTACCTATGCAGATTTTATTTAAAATAAATGGAAATAATGGAATCCATTTCTTAAGGGTCTTATTATTTTGGAGAATTTTAAGTAGTTCTTTCAGTTATTCGTGCAATAAATACTCTGGAAAAAATGTTTTCTGATAGAGCACATGCAGACATTGGTGTAGCAAAGGGGGTTTGATTTGGGGTGGAGAGGTAAGGGAAGGAGAAAGCATGAGAATCAGATTATAAAATCTTTAATACTGAAGTGGAATTCCTCCAGGAATGGCTTAACAAAGCCTAGGAGTTTGAATAATTTCCGAAGATTCTGGTATACTTGGGAGGAGCTCCTTAATATCTATCTTGCTCTATAACTGATTGATCTTGTGATTAATTTTATTTGAACAGTCTTTCACTAGCATTAAGAATGAGTACTTTAGTCTTATGAATATTTTTTTGTAATATTGCAAGTAATTTCTCAAAACAAAGAATCGGAAAATGAAAGTTTTTGACTTTTAGCTATTCTGTTGAAAATTTGATTCTACTTTTCAAATGGCCTGGGGGGGTTGGTTTCTAGAAAGCATTCTGTTAGTTATTGGGTATTTTTATATTGGGACTCAAGGTGTTGCAGAGCACTTACAATGTCCTGGCTTCTGTTTATGGGAACTTGAAAGTTGGGAATTTTTTTGGTATATTTGAATGCTCTGTGTAATTTGCATATTTGTCATTGCTTCTGTTAAAGTTAAAGTAACTGCAGGCATTGCAGGGTCCAGTGTGAAGAATTCCACCAGATACTGCAAACTGGCCAGAAAATATTTCTCAACAGTTTTTACTAGTGGGCTCCTTAAACAACCACCAGACTAGAATTCCCAGAGTAAGGTGAAGAGGGCAAAGGATGTACATTTCACTTATTCTTGAGAAACTAGGGAGAAAGGGTCTTCTACATAAGACTCTAGAGTAGCTTGCTACCCTGCCTCCTGGAGTCATTGCAGGATACAGTTTGATTTATTCCCTTCGGATTATTTAGAATTTGTACTTAACCATCATCACCCCCATCACCTACCTGTCTCATTGCCTCCTTTTCAGAACTTACTAGAGACCATTATTGGATATTAGTCTAAAAAGGCAAATAGTCTTAACATTTTGATTAAATGCTTCTTGTGGATTTAGCCTGTATTTGTTGATAAATGCCTTATATGTATTGAGACTTACAAAGACTAGATGTACTCCATTATATCTGACTTTAAAGCATTCAGCTTGGCCTTTAGTCAAAGATAAAGTAAGTGCTTGAAGAAGAGTGAATTTGAGGACAAGGACTTGAGACTTATTATCTTTGGACCTCTCCTACCTTTTTCCCCTACTTGTCTAGCAAGGCAGCAAAATAGTTCCAGTGATTTCACTTTTAGTGAAACCCATTTTGTGTCTTAAGTTATTTCATTGTTCTTATTTTATTTCATTCTAGGTCCAGGGGCAGCCATTAATGGTACAGGTCAGTGGAGGCCAGTTAATCACATCAACTGGCCAACCCATCATGGTCCAGGCTGTCCCTAGTGGACAAGGTCAAACCATCATGCAAGTACCTGTATCTGGAACACAGGGTTTGCAGCAGGTGAGTGGTATGAAAAAGTGTTCAGACAGAACGTTAGAATAGAGGTTTTTAAAGAATAATTTATTGACTTCTGGCCAAGATGGAGGCGTGATACTGTGCCTCCTCACACAACCAAATTTAAGGACAACAGAGATTTAGAAGGAAAAACACAACCAGAACAGACAGAAAATTGAACTGTACTGAAGTCTGACAATAACAAACAATTCATCCAGACCGGTAAGAGGGGTGGAGTCAGCGTCAGGGGAGAGGGGTCTCAGCAGGAAGAGGCAGTGGTTAGCAGAACCGGGTGCAAGGAGGAATCCAGCAAACCCAGTGAGATGCCCAAGGCAGTTGGCTGACCTCGGACACACATTTACACACAGATAAACCTGGCAGTTCCATCCATGTTGTTGCAAAGGGTAGTAGCTCCTTCTTTCTCTCTGCAGCATAGAATTCCAATAAGCCAGGGGTTGAAAGACAAATACCATATGATCTCACCTTTAACAGGAAGCTAAACAACAAAACAAACAACCAAGCAGAAAAAACAAACAAACAAAAAACAAAGACACTGAAATAGAGAACAAGGGGATAGTGACCAGAGGGGAGAAGGAAGGGAAGTTAAGGGGAAAATGGGGGAGGGATTTGGAGGAACAAATAGGAAGGACACAGGGACGAGAACTAAGGGGGGTGGAAATGGGAGGGAGGTGGGGAGCAAGGGGCGGGGGAGGCTGGGATGGGAAAAATAGACAAAAAACTGTACTTGAAAAATAACTAAATAAAATTAAAAAAAAAAAAAAAAAACCTGGCAAAAAACTGGTAGTGAGACAGACCACAAAACCCAGGGCCCCAGCAACGGGAAATAAAGCCTAAAAGCACTGATTGGAAAGGTGTCAGCTTGTGGGAAGCAGCAGAAGGGACTGAAATCCAAGAGAGCACAGAACAAGCACCATTGCCCCCTCTCTAACCCTGCCCCCACATACAGCGTCTCAACTCAGAGACTGAGTTGCCCCACCCTGGTGAACACCTAAGGCTTTGCCCCTCATGTAACAGGTGTGAACAGACCAAACTCAAGCAGAAGAACAGCTCAAAGTCCCAGAGCCAATACTTCTAAGCAACAAAGAGATAGCCAACCTATCAGATGCACAGTTCAAAACACTGATAATCAGGATGCTCACAGAACTGGTTGATTTTAGTCACAAATTAAATGAAAAAAATGAAGGCTACACTAAGTGAAATGAAGCAAAATGAACAGGGGACCAATAGTAATAGAACAAAAACTGGGACTCAAATCAATGGAGTGGACCAGAAGGAAGAAATAAGAATTCAAAAAAATGAGAGGCTTAGGAACTTCCAGGACGTCTTTAAACATTGCAACATCTGAATTATAGGGGTACCAGAAGGGGAAGAAGAACAGCAATAAGTGAAAAACTTATTTGAACAAATAATAAAGGAGAACTTCCCCAATCTAGCAAAGGAAATAGACTCCCAGGAAGTCCAGGAAGCTCAGAGAGTCCCAAAGAAGTTGGACCCAAGAAGGAACACACCAAGGCACATCATCATTACATTAGCCAAGATTAAAATGAAGGAGAGATTCTAGAAGCAGCAAGAGATAAGGGGACAGTCACCTACAAAGGAGTTCCCATCAGACTGTCAAAAGCTGATTTCTCAAAAGAGACCTTACAGGCAAGAAGGGGCTGGAAAGAGGTATTCCAAGTCATGAAATCCAAAGACCTACATCCAAGATTGCTCTATCCAGCAAAGCTTTCATTTAGAATGGAAGGGCAGATAAAGTACTTCTCAGATAAGGTCAAATACAAGGAGTTCATCATCACCAAGCCCTTATATGAAATGTTAAAGGGACTTATCTAAGAAAAAGAAGTTAAAAAAGATTAACAGTGAAAGGACAGCAAACTCACAGTTATTAACAACTACACCTAAAGCAAAAGCAAACTAAGTGGCCAGCTATATCAGGAGCGAAGCCACAGAAATGGAGATTACATGGAGGGTTAGCAACGGGAGTGAGAGGAGGAGAAGGGGGAGAAGGTACAGAGAATAAGTAGCATAGAGGGTAGGTAGAAAATAGAGGGGGGGGCAAGAATAGTATAGGAAATGTAGAAGCTAAAGAACTTGTGACACATGGACATGAACTAAAGGGGGTGTGCAGGGGGGAGGGGAATGAAGTGGCGAAATGGGACAACTGTAATGGCATAATCGATAAAATATATTTTAAAAGTTTTTTAATTTTATTTTTGTCCTCATTTTGTTTGACAAAGGTAAGCTTTTTTAAAAAGAAGATTTTTATTTATTTATTTTTGGAGAAGGGGAAGGGAGGGAGAAAGAGAGGGAGAAGAATATCAATATTTGGTTGCCTCTTACACACCCCCTACTGGGGACCCAACCTGCAACCCAGGGCATGTGCCCTGACTGGGAATTGAACCAGCTACCCTTTGGTTCGCAGCCTGCTCTCAGTCCACTGAGCTACACCAGCCAGAGCTATAATAATATTATTAACCAATGTTACCCCAGTATATTTCATACAAATCATAACTAAACAAAAAAGCAAAAAGTAAACAAATACAGATTCAGAGAATAAGTAGGATAGACGGTGGGGAGAAAATAGGGGGAGGGCAAGAGTAGTGTGGGAAATGTAGAAGCTAAAGAACTTGTGACCCATGGACATGAACTAAAGTGGGGGAAGGTGGGTGGGAGGGGGTGTGCAGGGGGGAGGGAAATGGGGGAATGGGACAACTGTAATGGCATAATCAATAAAATATATTAAAGAATATTACAAACTCTTTGACAGTTGGTACTTTGCATTTAATTGCTTCCTACCTTCTATTTGCATTTAGTTGATATTTCACATGTCTAAGTACCCCTGATAAAGCAGGACTAGACTGAAACTGTACATCTCTGGTAAGGACTACATTAGGCATAATTTTGAATCAATGTAAAGAGTAAAAACATGGGAATCTAGTTTAATGAAAATAATTCATTGGGTGACCCATGTTGGCATTTTTAGTCAGGGAGGAAGGGAATTTACAGTCTGTTTGAGGTTTTTGTTTTTGCTTAGAAATGTTACTCTTTTCTTTCCATGGAATTAATAATTGAGTTATCCAGCAAGTAATGAAAAAGAAAATACTTTAGTCCATATCCATCACACACACCTAATACTATATTTGGAGCAAATTTTATAACCTTAAATACTTAATTTTTTTTCAAATGAATGGTATTTCTCATAGGAAGTTAGGAAAAGAAAATGAACAAAAAGTAGGTTAATAAATTAAACATTTAAGTTTTCCATATTCTCTTATAGTTTGTATGCATACTTTTTTTTCAACCTTCATTTTCTGTGAAAACTTCAAACAGATAGGCAAATAGACAGGTAATACAATTAACTTGAAAAGTTAACCAAGACTCCAGTAATGTTCACACATGGAAATTGGATGAGATGCCCCTTGAATATTTTTAATTTATAAATTCCTGCCCCACTCTTTTTTCTTGGAGTTCGTTTTTATGCATAGTTTTTGAGCCTGGTTGTATCATGTATGTAGTTATGTTTTGTTTTGTTTTTTTTTAATTTACTGTATCTCCACCTGATTTTTTTAAGTAAGCTTATTTATTTTTTAGATTTATTTATATACATTTTTAGAGGGGGGGGGAGAAGGAGAGAAACGTTAGTGTGAGAGAGATATATGGATCCATTGCCTATTGGCACGCCCCCAACTGGGGACCCAGCCCTCAACCCAGGCACGTGCCCTGACTGGGAATCAAACTGGCAACCCTTTGGTTCACAGGCCAGCACTTAGTCCACTGAGCTTCACCAGCTAGGGCTAATTTTCTTATTTTAAATTCTTTCATAATGGTCAATTTGAAGAATCAGAATTTGCAACTTAAAAAGTATATTTAAGGTTTTTTCCTTTATTTTCATTTATGTATTTATTTTTGCTTTTATAGGTAAGGTTACTGCAAATTTATTTGAGCATGATAGTTTTATTTTTCAGTTGAGTTAATTCTTAGGGCAGTTTCTTTGGAGTGGAGGCATTGCTTGGATAGGGGGTAGGAGAATTTTTAAAGCTGTTGGCGTATTTTTGCCACGATAGAGTTGTGATTAGGATTAAAAATAGTTTCCACATTTTTCCATGAATGAGTGTATGAGGCTTTAAATATATTTTCAGTATGTGTGCTTTACTCTGTTTTACACTGCTATTTCATTTCTGTTTTTCCTCTCATTGTCTCCTCTTTGGCCCTCCCTTGTCACATCTGCCTTTTCACTCCTAAATGGAGACAGTGTGATACAGTGCTTGCAACAGTGTGCTCGGGGTACAGTGACCTGACCTTTCATTCCCAGGTCTGCCATTAGACATTGTCTTTTGGATCTTGGTCAAGTCATTTGATTGTCAGTTTTCTCATCTGAAAATGCAGTTTATATCAGGTGATTTCAAGGGTTTATTTCAGTTCTAAATTCTATGTTTTATGGGATTTGATTAATATATGTGTGTATTTATTTATTCTAAGAGTCTCTGACAGGGTGATTTATTATATTTTCCTCCAAGATGGACTGTAACTAATCAAACCATCTAGGTAAAATTGTTTTTTTGTTACATATATAAGGCTCTAGGTAAGATTCCATAGCCTTTCTTAGAATACTTAAGATACCAATTTTTTCTATAAGAGGTTGCTTCTCATTATTGTTTTTTGAATAACCATTTATTTTAGGAGAATACTTTTTAAAATATATTTTATTAATTATGCCATTACAGTTCTATTTCCCCCCTTTATTCCCCTCCACCCTGCACACCCCCTCCCCCACCATTACCGCCCTTTAGTTTATGACCATGTGTCTCAAGTTCCTTAGATTCTATATTTCCCATACTATTCTTGCCCTCTCCCTATTTTCTACCTACCCTCTATGCTACTTATTTTCTGTACCTTCTCCCCCCTTCTCCTACTCCCCTCTTGCTGACCCTCCATGTGATCTTCATTTCTATGGTTCCGCTCCTGATCTAGCTGTCCTCTTAGTTTGCTTTTGTTTTAGGTGTGGTTGTTAATAACTGAGTTTGCTGTCCTTTCACTGTTCATCTTTTTTAACTTCTTTTTCTTAGATAAGTCCCTTTAACATTTCATATAATTAGGGCTTGGTGATGATGAACTCCTTGAATTTGATCTTATCTGAGAAGTACTTTATCTGTCCTTCCATTCTAAATGAAAGTTTTGCTGGATAGAGCAATCTTGGTTGTAGGTCTTTGAATTTCATGACTTGGAATACCTCTTTCCAGCCCCTTCTTGCCTGTAAGGTCTCTTTTGAGAAATCAGCTGACAGTCTGATGGGAACTCCTTTGTAGGTGACTGTCCCCTTATCTCTTGCTGCTTCTAGAATCTCTCCTTCATTTTAATCTTGGCTAATGTAATGATGATGTGCCTTGGTGTGTTCCTTCTTGGGTCCAACTTCTTTGGGACTCTTTGAGCTTCCTGGACTTCCTGGGAGTCTATTTCCTTTGCTAGATTGGGGAAGTTCTCCTTTATTATTTGTTCAAAAAAAGTTTTCCACTCGTGGCTGTACCTCTTCCCCTTCTAGTACCCCTATAATTCGGATGTTGGAACATTTAAAGATGTCCTGAAGGTTCCTAAGCCTCTCCTCATTTTTTTTTTGAATTCTTCTTTCTTCATCCTTTTCTGTTTGGTCATTTTTTTACTCCTTCTGGTCCACTCCTTTGATTTGAGTCCCAGTTTCCTTTCCATTACTATTAGTTTCCTGTGTATTTCCATTCATTTCAATTAGTTTAGCCTTCATATGTTCCTCTAATTTGTGGCTAAAATTAACCAGTTCTGTGAGCATCCTGATCACCAGTGTTTTGAACCGTGCATCTGAAAGTTTGGCTATTTCTTCATTGGCTCTGGGGCTCTGAGTTGTTCTTGAGCCATGTTTTGATCTGTTCATGCCTTTTAACATATGAGGAGCAGAGCCTTAGTTGTTCACCAGGGCCGGGCCACCCAGGTCGCTGGTTTGTGATGCTGTATGTGCGGGCGGGGTCAGAGAGGGACGATGGTGGTTCCCTCTGCTGCTTCCTGCCACAGGTGCCTTCGTGGTCCATCTCACTGCTAGTTCCTTCACCGGTTTATCTGCGTGCGAATGTGTGACCGTGACCATGAGCAGCCCTCAGTGGATCCACCGCCTTTTGCCCTCAGTGGGTCCACCCACTTCTCCACACCTGGGATCTGCCCACAGCTGCTGGCGCACCTGGGTAGCATGCCCAGGTTGGTCCAGTGGATCTCTCCTTCCCGACCCCTCTCTGCTGCAGGCTCTGCCCCTCTTACCGGTTTGGCTGTAGGGTTCGTTGTTGTCAGACTTCCGTGTAGTTCAATTTCCTGTTGTTTGGCTGCATTTTTGTTACTAAAACTTTGTTGTTTTTAAACATAGTTGTGAGTGAAGGCGCAGTGCTTCCACCTACGCCTCCATCTTGGCGGAAGTCTCAGGAGAATACTTTTTAAGCTTTTTTATATTGTATTCTCTATTTTAGAATTCCACTGAGACCCTATGCCCTCTTAGAAAAAGGTGTAGACGTCCAGATACATGGAAAATTTTGCATACAATTTTAGGTGAAGATCCCTGGCTTGATATAAACAATGGAACTGGAATAGAGAGTCAAGAAATAGATTGAAGAATATTGAAAAATAATTCAAAATAATAGTGAAGTAGTGGTTTTAGAATGATATACATGTAACACAGTGGACTTAGAGTATTATGCTAAGTGAAATAAGTCAGAGAAAGACAAACATGATTTCAATTATATGTGGAATCTAATAAAAAACAAAGACATAAGTACAGAGAAGAAACTGGTGGTTATTCAAAGGAAGGCAGCAGGGGAAGGACAAAAAAGGTGACGTGGGTTGAGAATTACAAACTTTAAGTTATAAAATAAGTCATGGGTGTGTAATGTATGGCATAGGAAATACAGTTAATATCGCTATGACGTTATGGTGACAGACAGTTACTAGATTGACTTGTGGTGATCACTTCATACAGTATGTACTCCTGTCGAATCACTGTATTGTACACCTGAAACTATAATGTATATGAGCTCTAATTTTTTCTTTAAAAAATGTAAACAACAAAAAAAAGAATGGTACAGAAAAAGAAAATTTCTGCCTCAGAGTAGATACAAAAGTACTTGTTAGATTGCCCTGCTTGGGTGGCTGTGTTGGAGCATTGCCCCATACACCAGGAGGTTGCGGGTTTGATCCCTGTTCAGGGCACATACCTGGGTTGCAAGTTCAATCCCTGGTCAGGGCACATGTGTGAGGCGGCCAATCGATGTTTCTTTCTCTGTTTCTCTCTGTCTCTCCTTCCTTCCCTCCCCCACCTCTACAGTCAATAAACATATCTTCAGGTGAGAATTAAAAACAATAATAATAACTTGTTAGTAAATTAAATAAATGTAAGGAAAGCATACTTGGAAACTTACAGATTCTCGTCACAGGAGAATTTTCTTTATGTTACGGGGTAGAGAAAGACTTTTTTTTTTTTTTTGAAAAACTGAAAACTGTAGTAGTCCCCCTTATTCATGGGAGATGTTCCAGGATCCCTAGAGGATGCCACGCCACGATATTACTAAACCCAAATACTACCAGGAATGGATGAATGTGTTGTACTGCGATTATCTAACGTGATACTTTTCATCAAGTGAAATGAAGGATCTAGTTTTATTTCAACTAGCTATATCTTGAAAACAATATTGACTAAGAAATAATAAATTATATTTAAGAATTAATTATAATAAACAATATGGTACCATTTTTATAAAATTTATAAAATATAAGGAGTGTCACCAGTTTTAGTAGTGATTTATTTTTTTGAACATTTTATAATAGAAAACTTAGACAAAAATGAGAATGGTATGATTAATCACCATACCCATCTTCAACAGTTATCAATACATAATCAGTCTTTCTGGTTTCATCTGCATTTACCTACTTTCTCAAGAATTATTTTGACTATATGAAATACTTCATCTGTAAGAAATACTTCAGAGCATATTTTTAAATAAACATGATTTAAAAAAATAAAATGATCATGCCAGCGCTATCATTTAAAAACTGACATTGATTCCTTAATATCATCCAGACAGTAGTCAAAATTCCCCCTCGTTAGAGCACTTTCCACTCTGTAGAGGAGTTTGGGTAACTAGCACTTGGAGCCAAAAGAGGCCAGTGTCAACAGAGTACTAACCCTTCTTTGTGTTGTCTTCCACAGATACAATTGGTTCCTCCTGGACAGATCCAGATCCAAGGTGGGCAGGCTGTACAGGTACAGGGCCAGCAGGGCCAAACCCAGCAGATCATCATCCAGCAGCCCCAGACCGCTGTCACAGCAGGTCAGACTCAGGTAATTCCACTAGCTCTGTGATCACAGGAGCATAGCTGATCTGTAAGGCTCAGACAGCTCAGCCTAGTATTTCACATGTAGTAGAAATGGGGGGAACTATCAAAGTATTTTTTAGGAGAAAGACTACATGGTCTTTTTCGCAGGTGATGTCTTAGAATCTAATAAATTGTGTCATGATTTATTTGCTACAGACACAGCAACAGATTGCTGTCCAGGGGCAGCAGGTAGCACAGACTGCTGAAGGGCAGACCATCGTCTATCAGCCAGTTAATGCGGATGGCACCATTCTCCAGCAAGGTGAGTGTGCCCATTCATTTCTGTCTGCTTTTGGGGGGTATCTTTTTCATCTCTTGAGCAATGATGCTTCAGAAATTTCATGGTGACCTCTATGTGACACATTTTTGAACAAGAAAATAAGACTTCAAGTTTCCATTGATTGTTGGTTCCTTGTCTCCATTGATTGTTGGTTCCTTGTAACCAATACATGACCAACATCAATTCCATTTGTAGAAGTCCCTACAGTGATTGTTAAAAGACTAGTCCTAAGGATTCTGTAAGCTTTTACTCTTTTCTAGGAAGAAATATATTTAAATAGGAAGATTGGAAATAGGAGTTTTTTTGTTGATAGAGGGAGACATGGATCAGAAGTCAGCTTGGCATTTTGGGTATTGTTGCTGTTAGGTGTATTTTTTCAGGGCCACTTCATTCATAATTTATTCCAAAAAATACTTAACATATGCCTACAATGTACGTAGAACTTTGCTAAGAAAGAAGAGCTTTCATCTCAACAGTCTGTAGTCTAATAAAGGAGGCATGCATGTGAACAAATACAGTGCAGAGCCCTGATAGAGGTATGTACTAGGACTAGATGATGCATAAAGAAGGGAGAGATGAAATATGGCTTGAGAGGAGAATGTACTTCAGACAGAGGAGGAGACGGCTCAAACTAAACTGAAGAGCTTTTGGAAGCATTTGTCATAGTTAAATCTGAAAAGGATGTCTCAGATTCCATGACTATAGGTTTGACTTGTGATCAAAACTTAGCAGTACACAAGATCGAGCCAATGCAGTGACAATGCACTCTCATATGACTCAGGAGAGGGCCTGAACTAGATTGAGCAGTGGCAGGAGCTCAAGAAAACAATGGTGAATACCTCTTAAGGTGGTATTCACCTGCTGGTGATAGTTTGGGGACTTGGAATGCTTGATTTAATTTTAAGTTTTAGACCTGAAACTGAGTGGTTCATTGTCAGTTAGGAGGAAGAGTTTGTAAGTTTGTAAAATCTCCATCCTGAAGCAGATTGTATATATGTACAAAAACAGTGAGTATAGCTATAGTAAGACCAACCCATGAAAGGGGAGGCCTCCAAACTGCCTCACCACCCATTGAAAACTTACTGAAATGTCCAGAAAGTATCCATTTTAAGGATAGATTTATTTAGAGCTAGAACCCAGACAGTTAATAGAATTTCAGGGATTGTGATTATATGGGTTTTATTTAGTAAACAAGGCAAAGAGTGAGTGTGTGCTTTTCCCCCCACCTTGTGCTGTTTAGTATGTTTTTCCAGGGTGAATGAATGTGTGCCAGATAGAAGAGGGACTAACTGTGTTCCCTTCTTTCTGTGTGCCTGTTTTTTGCTTTATTTTCTTAAAGTTACAGTCCCTGTTTCAGGCATGATCACCATCCCAGCAGCCAGTTTGGCAGGAGCACAGATTGTTCAGACAGGAGCCAACACCAATACAACCAGCAGTGGACAAGGGACTGTCACTGTGACTCTACCAGTGGCAGGCAATGTGGTCAATTCAGGAGGGATGGTCATGGTAAGAATATTGATTCTTCAGCTCACTGTTCTCATCTGTAATTTATTTTTCTGTGTATCTCTTTGTCTTTGAGAAATTCTTGAATTGGCATTTTGATGTCTGTTATAAAATTTGTTTATAATGTTGACCTCTTGGAACTGAAATTGATCCTTAAGGCACTTTCAGACATCCACTTTTACAGTAAACATTACAGCCAACCATAGTTTATTCTGAGGGCCTTCTGCATGCCAAGCATTATTCTCAGTGCTAGAGATACAATAGTAGTTAAACAGGTGTAAATGTCTGCTTTTATGTGATCTTATTTGGAATTCAAATAATGAAGGGACAATTAGACTACTGATCTTTGGCAACTGGAAAATACATTGTTCCTAGAATGAAACAAGAAATAAACTAAAAATTAGAAAGATTGTATCAGAAAAAGCAAAAATTGTGTGACATAAATATATTGGGAAGATATGGGAGGAGGGTTGGGTGGTGTGTGTGAAAGGTAAATCCTCATCTATCAAAACAGGATGTCAGTACATAGTACCAAAAATGAGTAAGTTAAGAATTGACTAATAGAAGCCTACACGGAGGTGGAGTAAACTACGGGAAGAAACAATGCAGACCACTCAAAGTTATTACAGTTGGGAAGGGAGTGAGGCAAAAGAGACTTGTTTCTTCATACATATACTGTATGTACAGTACAGTATTTTGTTTTTGTTTGCTTTGAAAAGTTAGAATCATATAGTAACTTAATTAGCTGTGTAATTATAGACAGCTAGCATGTAATAAACTTGTAATAAACTTGTACCTATTTTTCTTCATACTGTTTTATTGTCTTATGATTATTGTTCTGGACATTAGATGGCAGCAGACATTCCTAGAAAATGGAGTCATGCATGGACAAGAATTTGGACCAGGTTATATCATTTCTTAGCTCCTGGGCCCTCTGTAACAATTATGTGTAATGTTTGTTTAAATGCATTTAGTATAATTCTTCAGGAAATGTGTTGAACTGAATGCCATGTAAAAGCTACTCTTAGTAGCATTCAGAAGAAAATAGATTAATAGGGATTAAGAAACTGTTTTCTATATCCATACTTCATGTAACTACTTAATAAACGGGTATTTTCTTCACACAGATGGTGCCTGGTGCTGGCTCTGTTCCTGCTATCCAAAGGATCCCTCTACCTGGAGCAGAGATGCTTGAAGAAGAGCCTCTCTATGTGAATGCCAAACAGTACCATCGCATACTTAAGAGGAGGCAAGCCCGGGCCAAACTAGAGGCAGAAGGGAAAATTCCAAAGGAAAGAAGGGTATGTGTACTATTGTGAAGCCTGTAGAAAAAGAATACCAGGGTTCTACTTTGGGAATTGGGAATTAATTACTTCTTATATGATTTGTTTCCTTGAGTACCTTCTAAAACAATTAAAGGTAGAAAGCTAGTTAGCATTTGCTATTACTATATGCAGCTGCAAATGTAAAAACAAAATAACACTATCTAATATTCTTAGTGAGCTCATTGTAGTCCAGGATAGCTGCTTGTGCTCCAGCCCAGGAGCAAATGGGATAGAAAAGGCAGCTGTCTTTCAGGAAAACTTTCAGGAAGTTTTATGTATCTCATTAGCAGATATTTAATTACATGGCCACACTTACCTGTCAATAAGGGTAGGAACTGCAGTGTTTTTACTGAGTAACCATTTGCCCAACTAAAATTTGGTCTGTTACAGCGAAGGAGAAGATATGTGTATTGGGAGGAAGGTAGTGATTTCCATGATACCATTGAGGAGTCTATTATTATTATTACTATTATATTCGTGTAACATTCACAGCTTTATGGTAGTTATATATAGTTAGCAGCTATCTCATTTTTTCCCAAAGCTTTCTTCATAATTCAAAGTCATAATTACCCCTGGTGGCTTTGATCACTGCTTTTCTAAACTATTAAATTTGGAATCTGCATTAGATAACTATGCTGCTAATAGTTAAATGGTTTTATTTCTCTTGTTTTAGAAATACCTGCATGAGTCTCGGCACCGTCATGCAATGGCACGGAAGCGTGGTGAAGGTGGGCGATTTTTCTCTCCAAAGGAAAAAGATAGTCCTCATATGCAGGTAAGAAGACTTACACCTTTCATTCATATTACTTTGTATTTTGTGGGTACAAGCTTTGGCCCTATCCTCTGCTATTTTGACACTAAGGACTAATTTTATTCTCTAAATTGAATGCTACATTGTGTACCTTCAACTTAAAAGTCTTTAACCCAGTGGCCTTTTCTCCCCATCTTTGCCAGTTATTAACATTAATTCTTTCTTGAAATACTCACTTGTCTTGATTTTCAGAAAATAATATCCAGCTAATACTTTACTGCCATGTACCAGCCATTATGTTAAGTACTTTTGTAAGCATTTTTTCTCACTGAGTCTTTATAGCAACCTCAAGCCCCATGAGTTAAGAATTACCTTTCCATTTTACAGTTGAATCTGAGGTTTAGACAGGTTAAGTAGTTTGCAAAATTGTTTGCCTTAAGTAAAAAAAAAAAAAATACTTAGTAAAATGATACAACTGATATTCAAACCCAGGCAGTATATGAGGTCTGTCTGGAAAAAGTCCAGCCATTGTTTATATAACAAGAACAGTTCTTATGACATTGATGTAACCTGGCAGCCACAGAGAGTGGACTGGAATGTGCGTGTGTGAACAGTGACAACTTCACTGTAGAGGCAGTAGATGCCAGTGAATGAACATGTGTACTGGGTGGCTGTCACATTCAAAATGACTGAGTAGAACAACAAGTGTGGCACAAACACTTCAATGAATGGCCAAGAATCTGTTGAGTGATCCATGTTCTGGAAAGTTCACAACAAGCAGCACACCCTACAATGTTGACCGTGTATGGGCTGCAATCAACAAAGATCGGTGACTATGTGAGAACTAGAAGCTGATCTGGGGATTCCAAAAACTACTGTGCCTGAGACTTTGGTGCAGGATCTTGGCATGAAATGTGTTGTGGCAAAATTCATTCCTCAGTTTCTACTACCAGAGCAAAGGGAACATTGTGCCTCAGTTGCTAATGACTTGATTCAAACTACTACCAATGAACCAGATTTCTTCAAGAAGGTCATAACCGGAGATGAATGGTGGGTCTACAGCTATGGTCCAGAAACAAAGGCCAAGTTGTCCCAGTGGAGGTCACCTGGTTCTCCATAGCCAAAGAAGGGAGGTGTGGCAAAGTTTCAGCCAGATCCAGACCATCTTAACTGTTGGTCTTGGGTTTCTTTTTTATTGGGAAGGTGTTATCCATCATGAGTATGCCCCTTTAGGCCAAACAATTAATAGAATACTGCCTCAATGTTTTTCATCAGTTGAGAGATACAATACAACAAAAATAGCCATAGCTATGGGCAACTGGTGATTGGCAGCTTTATCACAGCAATATGTCCACTCATACACCACGTCTTGTACAGAGTTTTTTAGCAAAACATCGAATCACCCAGGTGACTCAGCCTTCCTACAAAATAGATTTGGCACTCTGCAACTTCTGGCTTTTCCCAAAATTAAAATCACCTTTGAAAGGGAAAAGATTTCAGACCTTTGATGAGATTCAGGAAACTACGATGGGGCAGCTGATGGCAATTCCAACAAAGGATTTTGCAGAGTATTTTGAATAGTGGAAGAGACACAGACAACTATGTGAGGTCCTAAGGTGCCTGCTTTTGAAGGGGACTGAGACATCATTGTCCTGTGCAGTGTTTCTTGTATCTCAGTCTTCTTCAATAAGCATCAGTTTTTCATATTACATGGCTAGATACTTTCCGGACAGACCTCATAATTCCAGAACTTACTCTGTAACTACTGTATTATATTGGTTCTTAATCTAATACCGCTGATTTTATTGTATTGGCATTTCTGAGTCAATATATTCAAAATAAAACTCTTTATTTTTTTTAATGCCCCAACCACTCATCTCAACAAGTGACATGTTCATCCACCCAGTCACTAAAGCTAGAATTGTCTGAATCTTGGTGTTGCCTCAAATAAAATTCGAATCAGTTTAGCTTTTTCCCTCCCATTGCTGTTGGCCTCGTCTAATCCTCTCTCCTTTGGTTTGATTAGTGTAACAACTGCCTACTGATCTCTCCTATTCTCGTGCCTTTCTCATCCATTATTCACATCTTAGTGTGATCTTTTTTTAAATGTGTATCGTATCATATCACTGTATTTTTTAAACCCCTTCTACCCCTTCCCTTTCTTGCTTTCCTTGGCAAACAAGATTCTGCATGATCTAGCTCTGGTTTTATTTTCTCCTACTCTTTGGTCTTTATGCTCTTGCTACGCTGTTTATTGGTCTCTCTCCTGCCATTACAACCTTTATCTTTAAAATAGCTGATCTGTAAAGCTCTTCACTCTCCACCTTTTTATATGGCTTTCTCCTTATTATTTAGGTTCTGGTTTAAATCTGAGAGGCTGTCCCTAGCCCATCCTATCCAGAATAGGTCTTCCCTACCCTATTATTTCCCCACATCTTCTTTAGAGTGTAATAATAATTGAAGTGTTTTATTTGTATAATTGTGTAGTGGTTGTCTGCTTCACTAGGCTGTCAGCTGTGTAAAGAGTAGAGGATTGTTTTTGCTTTTAGTTTAATGCCCCATCCAAAACAAACACTCAATAAATGTTGGTTGAACTAATGGATTCCTTGCATTTACTGACATTTCATTCTGTATGACTGTCACATCCCACCTGTACTATTGTCATATTAGTCTTTATAAGATAATGCTTTTAAATGATGTCAGGCCCCTGCTCAAGGATGCATGTTAGTTTCTCATTTCTTACTGCATCAGATCTCAAACTATTTCTGTGTGATATCTAAGCTATTGCTCTTCATCATGCCTCTCAATAGTCATGGTAGGATTTCTCAGTGTCCCCACACATGAATATGATTCCTTCTGTGCTATTAATTCCTACCTTCTATGCTATTAATCACTACCTGTAGGAATTCCTACTGTCCTTTCTCAGTACTTTTTCCTGCAGGATATAGATGTAGAGATGCCAGCTATGGGCATTGTGCCAGGAATTCTCCTAATTCCATGAACTAAAAATATGACCTCAGTCAAGTTACCTAGCCTCTTTTAGTCTTAATTCACCTTAAAGTAGATACTATTGTTATTTCACAGGAATGTTGTGGGAATTTCATGCAGTAAGTCACATTAGGCAACTACTTAGCCTAGTGCATGGTGAGAGCTCAGTAAATGCTGTTGCTTTTCTCACTCATTGATCAAGATCAAGTTCCAGTCCTACCACCTACAGAAATATTTCATCTCCTCCTTGGATCATGCCAATTCAGGCTTTAGAGCTTTGATGTGAAAGAACTGAAGATGAGTTATTGTGGAGAGTTGCAAAAAGATTCCACAGACAAATTCTTGTCTTAACACTGCAAGTTTTAAGTAAGAGACAGTGGGCAAAGTTTAGTGGCAAGAATATTAAATGGGTACCAAGAGATTTAGGAGTTGGTTCTTGCTGGGTTCCTAACATTTTGACTCTAGTCCTAGTAAATCAGTGTTTTCATCTGGGTATCAGGTTTATATATAACCTTTAGGCTACACTATAACCTTTTAACAAGGTGAATGTATTAAAGTAAATAAATTCCAGTGTCACTTAGCTCTGCTAAATGCTCAGCATTTAAATACGATGATCAGAAAATAATGACACAGAAATACAGCATGATAATAGCTTCACTTGGTCTTTTGCTTAGCCCCCTCTAAGGAACCTTAAATATTATGGTACAACACAATACAGGTGTGCCATCCACTCTGGAGTATTTAGTAATGGAGTGCCAGTCCACATTTTTAATCCTTTTAAGAATAAGGTTGCCATGGCTGGAGTGGCCCAGTGGATTAAGTGCTGGCCTATGAACCAAAGGGTCGCTGGTTTGATTCCCAGTCAGGGCATAAGCCTGGGTTGTAGAACAGGTCCCCAACAAAGGGGCATGTGAGAAGCTACTACACATTGATGTTTTTCTCCTTCTCTTTCTCCTTCCCTTCCTCTTTCTCTCTAAAAATAAATATATATATATATTTTAAGAATAAGGTTTATTGTCTTGTCCCTTTTGTTCCTAAAGGAGCTGCATTTTAATCCATGTATTCAGACTTGTGTGTAGGCCTTTGGTTTACTTGGCAAAACTGTATCTATGCCCTTGGTGTTAAAGTGGTGAGAGCCTCACGTTTCTGTTGCTTTTGTAAAGGACTTTCCTCATTATTATGCTTTCTTTGTCTCTAGGATCCAAACCAAGCAGATGAAGAAGCCATGACACAGATTATCCGAGTGTCCTAACCCCAGGCTATGTGATGGGCCTGATCAAGGTCATGTTCTTCGCCATTGTTCCAGGAAATTGATCAGTTCTTCCAATGGGACACTGATGATCACATTCTGCCCTTTTTATGGGACAGAAACCCACTTAGTTTTTAATAAGTGGTTCAGTATTATAATTGCAGCAATGTCTGGCAAATTGAAGTGGCAAGCCTTTCTCACCCCTTCAGTCAGGACCTGTTTTAGACTGTTGATGACATTGACATTTCACGGATTAGGATGATGCAAGGGACTCATGCCAGCCCAGCAGTACCACACACAGCACTTAAGTTGACTGGTGAAGCCAGCCAACTATCTCAGCAGAGGAGAATAACCTCAAGCTAAACTGAATTCAGGGAAGGTGGAGCCCACTTCTTCCCATGGAATCTAAACACCATCCATCCCTCTGGTGAGAGATCTCAGGCTAAGTAAATGGATACTTTGTATTCAGAGATGACTTCCAGGTGAGGAAGTTCCATCTCATAATATGGAAATAATAAATTCTCTGAGATACATTCATCTAATCTGTGGTAATAATAACAATCTCTGTCTACCCAGATGATAGGTTGGTGTTTTTGGACTCCAGCCAAGAAAAAGCTAATTTTGGGGATAGAATGATAAAAGAATCAAGCACTAAAAATAATAATTGCTGAATCTTTTTTAGCTTTGACCAGTTGTCTTGTCCGTCTGTTGACAGGTCATCTGGACCACAGTTACTACTATAGCTACTTTTAAGACAATTTAGAAGGTGTTGGAACTCAAAACTTCCTTTCCTAAGTAGAGAACAAAACAATACATCTTGTGTGCTGAAGTGCTGAAGACAGTGGTCGTAACTCCTAAGCAGAGAGCCAAACTAGAGAGTTTTCAATCATAGGCTTGGTGACAGCATTTGGAAAACAGAAGGGTTTGTGTGTGTTTCAGTCTAGAAGAAGAGAGTAGTATTTATACCCATGTGTTGTCATTTGGTATGATTCTTCAGTGGATGGATGCCTGGGATGGATTCATTAAGATGAAGAGAATAATTTACATTGACACTATAGCATTTTACTAAGAACAGAAAGGGAGAAGTATGAGATTTGGTTCTTGACAATTTCTGGAAAGCACTGTTTAGTCAAGCTGTCCTGGGTGTTCTCCAGGTTACCTCTTGAAGTGGATGTTGACTTCACTCCTGCAGCACTTTGTGCTGGCCCCAGAAAGCAGACATTCTCATTCTTCCCACGGCAGCTGACTCTTTGGTTCTAGTTTTCATTTGTTCGTGCACCACCGCCCCTCCAGCCCCCTTCACAGGCCTCGTGCAGGAAGGTTTTCACATTGCATCCACATCCTGGGGACTAGTTACTTACTGGAAATAGAGATGCCTGCAGTGTAAGACACTGGGCCAGTTTCTGGAATGAGTTGTGCCTCACTTTTCTAGATGTTTTACCCTAATAGCAATAAGATAATGTTTCAGAAGAGTTTCTGCCTACTCTGGAAACAAAGAAGGAGAACTTAATTCTTTCAAGGAATATTTGGGTTTGATTTAAATGCCAAGAATAAAGATTGCCTTTTCTATTTTACTCTATATTAAGAGAGAAAAGATAAATTTCACTCTCTAAAGAAAACACCACAAAGGGAAATCATTGTAATGGTAGAAAAGAGGTACAGAGCTATGCAAAGGAAGCAGAAAGTGAAGTATTTCTAGTTTCTGAAATCAAATCTCTTGGCTTCCAGTGGGGGGGGGCCCGGGGATATCATTTTTAGTAGACTCACTAGAAACTTCTGGCTCTTTATATTAGAGTTTCAGATGTTAACTTTATCCAGTAAGCTCCAAACTTTTCAGATGATAGATTACTAACAACAATGGGGAATTTTCTCCCTGGCGTAGCTCAGTGGATTGAGTGCGAGCTACAAACCAAAGGGTTGCCAGTTCAATTCCCAGTGAGGGCATATGCCTGGGTTGCAGGACAGGTCCCCGGTAGGGGAACGAGAGAGGCAGCCACACATTGTTTCTCTCCCTTTCTCCTTTCCTTCCCCTTTCTAAAAAAATAAATATTAAAAAGAAAAAACAATGGGGAATTTGTATGGTTTGTTTAGGAATCTTTAAGATGCAGAGTTCAGAAAGAAAGTCCTCAGATTTGATTTTTAGTATTTAGGCCAATAGCAATTCTAAAATGCTATTTATTTGTGTTTGTAAGTTGGTACATAGTAATACCAATCTCAATGTTGCAGAATTATTTTTTCATGCATTTGAGTTTTGTTTGAAATCAAATGCTTCAGTTGTTATCTTGTCATTGCATTTCAGCTAACTCATGGTTTTTTTTTATTGTGGTCAATTTAGTGCACTGTAATATCCCACGTAGTGGGGATTTGAGCTTTGGGTTTTTTATTTTTTGCTACAAGTTCTTTTATTTGTCCTTGTGACTGTAGTGATGACTTCTAGATGCAGAGTGAATGGATGCGTGAGTATTTGGTTTAATGAATAGTTATTCCACTTCTTGAGTGCTTTTCTTTCCCCAGGATAATTGTAAATGAATATATTTTAATTGTACTGGTACATTGAACATGTCAGTGTTTGTACCACTGGACCAACATCTTATGGCTATTGAGTGCCTGATAATAATGTCTTGCTTTTCCTTTGGGACTCCAATTATATATCTTTTACCCTCAGCAGCAGGGGGAGTACAGGTGGTTTGATCATTGATGTCATTGCAATTGTCATTTTTTTAAATAAATTTATAAAAATACTAAAAAGTTAATTTGAATTTTGACAAATCTACATCCCCTGGGTTTTGGTTGTTTATAATGTTGAAATTGTGATCTCTGTAGACAGACATGTGAACACTGGAGTATCAAACTTGCAGTGCCCAGACCCTAGTTATCTCGCCTCTTAATCCCTTCCTTTCTGTTTGGCCCTCCCGCCGGACTAACCAGGTATTTTCTGCTCCCTGTGGGCTAATCATACATTTGGTCTTAATATGGGAAGTGTTAATCAAAATGCAGAGAATTCCTTTAGTAAAGTTAGCCCACCAAAACGGATTGACTTACTAGGTGGTGTGTAAGTGTAGACACAGAAGATAAAGTTTTTAGATCTTTTTGTTTCTTCCTGAATCTGAGGAACAAACTGGCAACCTACACTGTGCCCTTATACAAAAGTCAGAACCAGGAATTGAGAGAAAACCAGCCACATGGAGCCCTCCCACAAGCGACCCTATAGACCTGTCCTGGCAGACAACAGAAACAAGAAACTCCCCTAACAAAACAGACTAACGGTAAAACAGCCTTAGTCTAACGGTGTTAAATTTAAAGACCATCCTGAGTTTAGCCAGATGCAAGTAGAATTTGTCCTTAGAAATTCAGAGATGACCCGTTTCTACTCATGATAGGGCACAAAAATGGCCCTATTGGTATTTATCCCAGATAATCCGTTTTGTCGTGAAAGCATCTTCACTATCACATTTCAAGATGAAAAGAAAAAAAACGTGAATTTCACTTTGAAGGCCCAGCGCTTCCCTTCCAAGTCTTCTGCCCCTCCCCGGAATCCAGCGCCTGGGTGAACTAGGCCAGAAGCAGTGGGGCGGGGCCCAAGGCCGCTTCAATTAGCAATACCACAAGGAAGCCCACACTCATTGGTTCATGGGCGGGCCCCCGCCAGGGCCGTCGATGCGGATTGGCTGCTACCTGGAGGGAGCACGGGCGGGCAACTACGCCACCGTCATGGCGTCCGGCGGTGCGGTCAGGGCGCCGCTTTTGTGGCCTGTGGGAGCCCGGTTGGCGGCGCTGCTTCCCGACCTGCTGGTGTTTAGGAGGCCCGGGGCATCGGAACCCGAGCTGGCCACAACCCCAGGCGTCCTCCTTAGCGTCCACGTGACGGGTGAGGGCGAGGGGAGGTGCGTCGCTCTCCGCACCGCCAAAGGAGCGGCTGTTGAGCCTCAGCTCCTGGAGGCCGTGGCGTTTACCGGCCTGGCCCCGGGCAAACTAAGACGCTGTTTGACTGCAGGCCTCCGGCCGCAGGGAACCAGGAGGACGCCTTTAGGAGCCCTCTGGCTTAGTTCCCTCAGAAATGATGAAATTGAGACTCATAAGGGGAAAGAGCTCCCGGGCCACACGGCAGACATTTAATCCAAGTTTCTCCCAAAACCGAGCATTTTCCAATAAGTATTTTTCCTCATCTGCTTATTCGCTCAGTTAATTCATTTTCTGGGGCTACAATTATGAGCCCGCTATTCCAGGAGTTAGAGAACTAGCAGTTATTTGAGAATCGTTTAACAAATAGTTATGGATTCTATGTGTCATGGATATGAAGACAAGTGATACAAGGTGCCTTCCTCAAGGAGCTCAAAATATGTGTTCTCTAAAAAGCATTCATCTGTTCCCCTTGTCAGTGGTGTCTCTATCACATGGGGAGAAATCCTACAGCTCCCTTGGCCAGGGAGCCTCAGAGGGTGGTGGGAAAGAGGTAGTTGGCTTCAGATGAAAAGGGGATTTTGTGGGGAGCTCCCCCGCCTGCAGCCCCTGGAAACGGCCCTCTGGATTCCTCCAGAGGCAGCAGCAACCAGCCTGGCCCCCCAACCATGTTAGTGGATAATGGAATTGCTCACCTCCAGGAGGTGTGCTTATTTACAGCTTCTTTATCAGTCTGGTCAGATTGATACACGGAGGGAATAGGGCCTAAAAGTGGGGTTCACAGCTAATTTAGTCATTTCTGCTTTGTTGGTTAGGGTTTACAGCATTAATGGACAGGTTCAGCCTGACCTGCAAGTCGGAACATGACATGGACAAACTGGCCCACATCTTCAGTTATTACATTAGTGACATCGTGGAGCGTGAGTGACCATTGTAGGGGGGCAAGGAAGGTGTGGTCTGGGCTCCTGAGGGTTTGCAGCAGAACAGGACCTGGGGTGCTTTAAAAGGGATACCAAAGGGTCATTCTTTCAGTGTTACTCATCTTAGTTCTTCAGGTTGCCACTGACAAGCTCAATCTTTGCCTGTAGCTGCCATTCTGCCCAGTCTCACATCCTGTTCCAGAAACAGGGAAAAAGCTAATGTTAACTTTGTATGTTTGTATTTCAAAATAAGGTATTCCTCAGGGTGTCTCTTCTAACAAAAATGCAATGTGCCTCATGTGTGTGTATATTAGATATAATTTACAAAATATCTCCTCACGCTGGTATTGGGTTTTGATCTTCTGAGTAGGAATAAGTCTTTATTTTCTGCCATGTATCAAGCTTGTGCATATTTGCATAATCTGCAAAAGAAACTCCTTATTTGTGCAGTGAACATGTTTTCAGTACCTACTCTGTGACATGCACTGTAACAGTGCAGGGAATGCAAAAACCTACTCTTTGGGACCTTCCAGTGTAGTTAGGCCTACCCAACAGAAATTACTCTGGCCTTATACTCTGTAGTTCTTACAGAACATTCTCATTCTTTACTGACAGTGCCCCATGCACTTTTGTCCATCATTCTTAGGTTCACCAGAATACTAACTTTGTAGCATCCTCCTTTACAAACAATTTGACTCACCCCTTACCCCTGAGGAA